CAGAGATGACCCCACGAATTTACAGCCAGTTGGATTTTTACAAGTTGCTAGAAACACGGGGAAAGCATAATCATTTCAATAAACTTCTGGGAAAGCTGGGTATCCATACAGAAGAATGAATCTACATTCTCACCAGATACAAACGGCAACTCAAAAATATCGAAGTCTGAAATGTAAGACTGAGAAAACGCATAGAACAAAAAATTGGGGGCCTTGATTTGGCAGTGATTTTTTTTAATAGAACTCTGGAAATACAGAAAAATTAACAGATGAAATTCCACTAAACTAAAGAAAAATTTCTTCCTAGTGAATGATGTGATCAAGAGAACAAAGATGACCACTGACAGAATGCAGGCAGCCAGTTAAGCCACAGAGGACACACAAAGGTGTTTACAAATTACCTGTCTGACAAGCGGTTAATAATATCCAGAATACACAAGAAACTCAAACAATGTAATATGAAAACTCAGACAAGATGGCTGAGATGCGGCTTAGGCCCACGCCCTCAGTCTAAGCACAACTTGCCGCTCACCCCGGACAGCATCAGATGTCATATCCTGATGCTTAATCCCAGACTATTCCATTACCATGCAGGCCTTTGCCCTCTCCCTTCCGGCCTCTGGGCTGAAGGGTCTGGTCCCGACGAGGAGAACAAACCTCCACTTCTTTTACTATAAAGTCCACTAAAATTGCAGTTTTTAAATCACACGCTGCTTCTTGCCAAATGCACACTTTCTTTTTTGTTTGTTTCATGTGCAGTTCTCTCTCTCTCTCTCTCTCTTTCTCTCTCTCTCTCTCTCTCTCTCTCCCTCCCTCCCTCTCTCTCTCTCCCCCTCCCTCTCTCTCTCCCTCCCTCCCTGTCTCTCTCTCTCCCCCCCTCTCTCTCCCCCCTCCATCCCTCCCACCTATGTGTCAGCAGCCAGCAGTAGCCACACCACAGCCTGGATTCCATGCTGTCCTGTGGTTTTCTCCACCAAACAAGACACTGTCTTGCTTTTGAATTCTGCCTCACTCAAGTTCTCAGGATACGAACAGAATGAAGTCCGATTCTTTACAGAATATAGCCAAGCTGTCAACAGAAACCTCTAGAGCCTGACCTCCACTGTCAACATCTCCCTTAGCATTCTGTCCTTCCAAACCCTCTAGAATGGCCCATTAAAGCCTGCTTTTAGCAATCCCAAACTGTGGAACAGGTACAGGGGCCTATGGACCACACGCTCAGGTGGCCGCAGCAATGACTTCACTTCTTAGGGGTGATTTTCTGTATAACTAACTTTTCTACTTTCTGTGACAAAATGTCTATCAAAATCAGCCTGGGGACACGTCTTACTTACTGTTCTATTGCTGTGATAACGCACCATGACCAAGGCAACTCATACAAGAAAGTGTTTAATTGGGCTTGTGGTTTCGGCGGGTTAGAGTCCATGATGGCAGAGCAGAGGCATGGTGGCAGGAACAGCTGGAGGATTACATCTTGATGTACAAGTAAGAGTCGGAGAGAACTAAGGAGGGACGAGGGGACACTCCTCCTCCAACCAGGAGCCTATGGAATCCATTCTCATTCAACAAGAACATTTATTTGGTCTCGTGGTTGGAAGGAATCCAGTCATCACAGTGGGGAGACAGTGTGGCTGGGTTCTTACATCTGTCTGTAGCTGGAAACAGAGATGCATGCTGGTGCACAGAGGGCTTCCTCGATTACCTCCCCACTTTTACTCAGCTGGGTCAACTGCCTTGCGCTTAAGGTAGATCTTCCCTCCTAAGTTACTGTTAGGAGTAGTTTTTCCCCCGCCGCCGGTCAGGTCCCAATTTTGCACCAGCCCCAAATAACACCCAGATACGCTGTATTTGATATAATGTTGTTGGCCAGGTACTAGTTTTTTATCGGCTAACTCTGTCTTAATTATTAACCCATTTCTATTAATCTAAGTATTTCCACGTGGTCTCTTCTTACCGGAGAGCGGGCCTGGACCTGTATTGTCTCCCATCTCCACATGCTGACTCCTCCCTACTCCTTCCTCTCTCCTCCCCGTCTCCTAGTCCCTCCTATCTTCCTTTCCTATTGGCCAACAGTGCTTTATTCATTAACCAGTATGAGAAACATATACAGAATGGCATCTCCCATCAAGTTATACTTCTCTGATGACATCCTCACCAATCCACCCAGAGCTGGGTCTCTAGGTGTTTCTAAAGCCTTGTAAGGTTGAAAATGAAGCCGGAACATCACACCTGCATTTGAAGATTTGAGGCAGGGAGGAATGTGAAAAAGCTTTGTGGAGAGGAAAGCCTTTGGGTTTGCTGTGGTTGAGGGCTCCTGGCACAGAGAGGTTGGAATGAGGATATCTAGAAGTGAGGTATCCTATTCATCCTTCTCAAGTTGTTTCTGAGCTGGGAAGGGGAACAAAAATCAAGGCAGCTCAGTGATGATGCTCCGCGATCTGATGACACCAGCGGACTCGATGCTTGGCTTTCTGAGCTGGCTGGTGCGGAGCATGCAGGCCAAAGTCACATGACTATCCAGACGCTGATGCTGACCATTGGGAAGACACAGCACAATCATTACTGTACCCCACACATGGATGGCTCAGGACAGTGTGGTTGTACTGTGTTGACAGCCCCGGATGGCCTCAGGATCCAGGGCCAGGGAGTGAACAGAACACTTCTTGCTAATGTGGTACCATCTCAGAGAGTGGCAGTGACTTGCTCAGGTGGCACCTCAGACCCATTCTGGGGGATGTCTTTGCAGTGGTTTTGCAAAATACAGGAATATAAACTATAGGGATCACGATATTTTTGTTACTGACCAGAATCGTATCAAAGGCCTTCTGAATCTAATTAGTGTTGTGTGTGATGACAAGCAACTCTCTTAAGAGCTGTGTGTGGAAGGAAGCAGCTGTTGGACCGATAGATGAGTTAGATAACCTGTGTGTGTGATTTCTTCTGCCCTGCAAGTCTTGTATCCTGACTTATCATGACGTAGTAATATCCAGGAAACAAGCCATGTGTTTATTAATAAACAATGTCAATGGGGTAGATTTCTCTATTCCACAGTCTCCGTTGGGACAGTATTTGAACTCCACTAGCTTGTTGCATTCCCACGTACCAAAGAAATGTCAAGGAAAGTGTTCCTTTATCACCACAGAGCTGTATTGATCACTTGCAACCCTCCATGTCCTGGAGCCCTTCCCACATGAGGGAGCACTTGCCACGTGAGGGAGCACTTTCCACATCAGGGAGCACTTCCCACATGAGGGAGCCCTTCCCACATGAAGGAGCACTTCCCACATGAGGGAGCACTTCCCACGTGAGAGAGCACTTGCCACATGAGGGAGCACTTCCCACGTGAGAGAGCACTTGCCACATGAGGGAGCACTTCCCACATGAGGGAGCACTTCCCACGTGAGGGAGCACTTGCCACATGCTAAGGTACTCACCACATGCGGGAACACCCCCTCTGTCCTAGAGCATTGCTCTGAGTTATGGTGAAGCAGGGATGAGCAAGACTAATAGCTTTTTTTTTTTTCTCAGCCTATATAACAGAAACAAAATAAAGCTTATTTACACTAGAGAGTATACAAGTAGTTGTGAAAATAAAAGGCCAGGGTTCTATCCTTCTCGACATCGTAACTGCAGTTAAACGTTAGCCATGCTGTCTGTGGAAGAGCTGGGTTTAAGGGTTAAATAGAAATGCAGAGCCTTTGGGCCTTCGTCCAGGAGCACCATGAGAAGGCTGCAGAATGATGCTTTACTTAGCCCCTCCCCGATGTCAAGGCTGGTGAATGTCTCTCTGTATAAACTAGAGAGACAGCATCACTCAGTGTCCGGGTGATTCTGGAAACATGGGATTGGGGGGGTATTGTGGTCAGTACCACAGATTTTAAGCCAGTTCTTGTCAAAAGGACCTGTTTTCACTTTGTGGTACAAAGACTCCACAAATGGGAAGCCGAGGCCAGGGTCAGACCCTTCTACGTGACCGTGGACCTGATTGACATCCCAGTGTGTCCCTGTCAAACCTCCTACAGTTGTGACAGACATCTGTGCGTGTCTATTTTCACTTGTTGGATTCCTAAGCACTTAGCGTTTGTTAAGAATTACCATAACCACAAGAATTGGCATATTCTAAAAAGATGGTGTTTGTTAGATTTGGTTTGGTTTAAATTTTGGTTTTGGGGGCGTTGTGAGTGTGTGTGTGTGTGTGTGTGTGTGTGTTTGACTTCTTTATTTTGTGTTTTTTTTTTTTTTTGTTTTGTTGTTGTTTTGTGGTATTTTGTTTCATTGGTTTGGTTTTTTGTTTGCTTTTTGGTAAGTGTGTGAAACTCACTATATAATCTGACTGGCTCTGCCTGAGCAATCTTTTTGACTCTGCTTTCTGAGTGCTGGGATTGCTGGGATTATAGGTGGGTAGCAATATTTTCTTATATAACTGTACTGTGCTGGCTAATCTTATGTCAATGTGACACAAGCTAGAGTCATCTGAAAGGAGGGAACCTAGATTGAGAAATACGTCCATAAAATCTGACCTAGGGCATTTTCTCAGTTAGTGATGGATAGGGAGGACCCATCCCATTGAGGGTGGTGCCATCCCTGGGCTGGAGGACCTGGGTCCTATAAGAAAGCAGGCTGAGCAAGCCACAAGAAGCGAGCCAGTAAGCATTGCTCCTCCATGGCCTCTGCATCAGCTCCTGCCTCCAGGACCCTGCCCTGCTTGCGGTCCTAATTTCCTTCAATGATGGACTACAGTGTGGAAGTGTAAGCCAAATAAACCTTTTCCTCCCCAGCTTGTTTTTGGTAATGGTATTTTATCTCAGCTATAGAAACCCCGACTAAGACAGATAGTGTTGTCTCTGAAATTACCTTTCTTACCTAAGGGATTAGTCTGCAACTTTGAGGTTTGTTTCTACTTAAACAATTGAGCCACTTGAGTAATGGACAAAGCTGCACAGCACAGTCCTGCCCCATCTTTGCCTTCTGAAGCTGTCTTGCTTTTCTATGTTCACCAGAGCTTCTCCTTGTGAAGCAGAGCTTCAGGAACTGATGGAACAAATTGACATCATGGTGAGCAACAAGAAGTTAGACTGGGAAAGAAAGATGCGGGCATTGGAGACACGGTTGGACCTTCGGGATCAAGAGTTGGCCAATGCACAGACTTGCTTGGACCAGAAAGGCCAGGAGGTACTGAATGCACATGTCAGCAAAGTGTTCGTGCACCAGACTCGTTGGTTACTTACAATCCTGTCAGCAATATGCTGCTAAATATATGCTATCAAATAGATGCAGGGACTAACTCGGGCATTTACCAGTGGAGACATCCACTACGTCAATGCTGCCAATAAACGGAATAAACGTTTATGGTACATGTAAAACAAACAAAAGTAAAAATGCTTTGGCTCCTACAGGAGCCCCGCCATGGAGACCAAAGCTGTCCTTGCTCAGCAGAACCCAGGAGTGTTTGCTGCTTCTGATCTGCTGGAAAATGTGAACAAGCATGTCAAGAGTCAATTGTCAAAGGAGAGTGCATTTGATGAAAGTGTGTGTGTGTGTGTGTGTGTGTGTGTCTGTGAGGGGTCTCATGTATATGTGGGTGTGTGTGGGTGTGTTCTCGTGTGTGCATGCGTGTGTGTGTGTGCAGGCATGTGTGTGTCTGTGAGGGGTCTCATGTATATGTGGGTGTGTGGGGGTGTGTTCTCGTGTGTGCAGGCATGTGTGTGTGTGTGTGTCTGTGAGGGGTCTCATGTATATGTGGGTGTGTGTGGGTGTGTTCTCGTGTGTGCAGGCGTGTGTGTGTGCAGGCATGTGTGTGTATCTGTGGGGTGGGGGGGTGATGGGCCCCTGTAGTGCCCACTTAGAATGGTTTCCTTGCACTCCCACAGCTGCTGAGCCGGTGCTCATCACTGTGAAAGTGTGCAGACTTGGGGGTTTTGGAAAGGCACATGCAGACCTATATGTCTGGACGCCTTCCAATCCAGTCAGGGCTCATACATCATCACAGAAGTTTTCACGAGCCGTTCTCCAGCCCTGTGGACTTCTGGATGGGTTGGGTTTGGCCAAGCTGAGGGTGTTGGTGTTTTGCATGTGGGTGTGGCTATGGTTTCCCTTGGCAGGAAAGGCAGGTCCACTGGTCCTGGCATATGCAAGGGCCTGCAGTGATACAGATATGTAAGTAGGTGTCTCATCTGCATTCAGACAGAGTAATTCAAACCCTTAACAAGCACTCTTAGATTTTCTCATTAATATGTTAGTTCTTATAAAATTATCCATAGACCACCAAACTGGTAAGGAATGGACCCTGACCAAAAGAAAATCTTTAAGTTACATTGGCGCAGCCCCCCAAACAGGTCATTCAGAGCAAATTCTAAATCTTAATTTAAAATCCAACAGTGACAAGGCTAAGCACACTTCCACGCTGTGCTAATACACAAGCATCGGACTGGGCTAGAGGCATTCGCACTCTGTGAATTCAGTTATTAGTACCTATTTTAAGAACTGCAGGACAAATATTTGCTCTTGGCTCAGTGCAGCGGTTTAACTTGGATTACATTTCATTTTTTTTTTTGTTTGTTTGTTTGGTTTTTTGTTTTGTTTTTTTAAGTAAGATTCAGAAAAAAAGCTAATTTAAAGTTTTTTTTAATGCAGGTGGGGTTACTTCGACAAAAGTTGGACAGTCTAGAAAAATGTAATCTAGTAATGACTCAGAACTACGAAGGACAGCTACAGGCCCTAAAAGCTCAAGTAAGAGAACTTATTAAATGTAACACTACATACTTCGATACATGTTTTGACCTATAAAAATGTTAATTTTTTAAAAATGTTTTGCATATAAGCAAATGTTCCTGTGTCTTAATTGCATGTTCATCTCTGGCTGTCACTGTCTTCTGTGTCCTGATTTTCTCTCCTACAAGGCTGTCAACTCAGATACCATCTGCATGGCCTTCCCTGTAACAGGGCACTAGGCAAATAGCTTCCTGTCTCTGCAGAGGCAATGCTTTATGATTATTACTAGTTATGAGAACAAAAAGTGAAATTTTCTTATGTGGTTATTTCTGGGGATAGGGTTTCCTGCGACCTAAAATACGGACGCTTGATACTATGAAGTAAGTAGAAAGAAAGGAGCTGGCCTTGCTACCGATGGCTGTTCATAAATAGCACGTAAAATGCACGTGCCATGACATGGTCACCAATTTCTCCACTAGGCTTGCCTCAAAGTGTTGTCTCCTAGCAAAGATGTCCGACATCCAACATTTTCTTGAAAAGCAAAGATTTCATATGTAATAGCCTACTTTAGGAAGCCTGGAGTATTCAATGTGCCTCCATAGTTACTATAAAAGGGATTTAGCCATTAAAAACAGAGTAGGAAACATTTGATCCCATTACTTAACTGTTATTAAAAAAATGTTTCAGACTAGCTGTCTACATTTTGCCTGAAATTCAGGCATGTGCCACTAGAAGGCAGCTTGTACTATGAAGCTGCATACAGTTTTCTGAGACCAGAAGCATCTAAAACTTAGGGCAATCAATCTTGGCTTTTTTTTTTTTTTTTCCTCCTGCAAAGATAGCAACACAAATCTGAATTCACCTAACAGTCCATTGTTATGTCTGAAGCTGCTGGACAGGTAGACTGGCTGTGTGTTTCTCTGTCTTCCTCAGCACAGCCCTTGACGTGGTAAGACAGCTTGAGAACCTTTAGGGAGAAGGGATGGGTTACTTAGGGATCTTGAGAGCCAACAGGAGCACCAGTGAGCTCTCTGGGATTTGTTTTAGCATTGTCACACACACAGGATACAGACAGATAAGCAATGGGCAGAGTGCAGAGGGAATCCTGGCATCCACAACTCATAGCACAGCCTTAAAAATACCCCTGTGAGCCATGGGAAGACAGGAAAGTAAAAGCAAGCCGCAAGCTAGAGGAAGCCAGAAAACAAAGCACAAGAAGCCAAGCTTCAAGTGAGCATAGCCATAACTATATTAAACGAAAATGGCCTAACCACACAAATTAAAGAGTGCCCAAAACACAAAAACAGGACCCAGCTCAATGAGCTGTTCAAGAAATCCCCTTCAAATATGATTACACAGGGAAGCAAAAGTGAAAAGATAGATAAAACTACAGCATGTTATGTTTAAGAAACCAAAGCAGGTGCACTGCCAAGATGATTCGGTAGAAGAGATTAGCCCTTTAACAAACACACAGAGACTGCTCAAGAATGCCCCAGGAGATGCAGGCGAGACAGACCTGAGTTTGCCAGCAACAGCTTAGCTACATCTGCAGCTGTCTCAACACAAAAAGCCTCAGTGGGAACAATGAACAGACACTGAATCTCCTCAGATGCTACGATACAATGTTAAAGACATACATGGAAGTGTGAGCCTCGGTCAACTGATGTGTAGATTAAACTTCTCAACACAAGATGGCATTAAGTTAAAGTAAGGAAAACTTGTGGGTTGGTTTTTTTTCTGTTAGCTTTGCTGCCTACATACACTTAAACAAAACCGAACAAAGCATGGAGTGAGTCCTCAGCTCACTGCACAGTTAACGAAGGCCCAGATTTACACACACAGAAGTAGAACCCTGTTCAGCCTCAGTAACTGAGTTTTAACAGCAGGTTCATCCTCACTAATCGGGGCATTCAAGTTTTGTTGCACTTTCTAGTCATGACTTACCTTTCCAAAGGTAAGTGCTACAAAGTATTTCTTTGTCAAAGAGCTGTGTTACAAAGTATTTCTTTGTCAAAAAGCTGTACTACAAAGTATTTCTTTGTAACCGGAATGATCTCTTATCATTTGCAGTTCTCTAAGCTAACCAATAACTTTGAAAAACTGAGATTACACCAGATGAAGCAAAATCAGGTTCACCGGAAGGAAGCCCCCAGCAAAGAAGAAATGCCCTTCGAGCTAAACAGTTTGAATCAGAAGCTGGAGGTGAGCAGGCTCCCCTACCCCTGAGTTTGAAGGCAGTTTGCTGGGCTCGATTCCAGGCACAGGGCACCCAGGACGGCCTCTCGGTGCACCTCCAGCTTCAGGCACTTAGTGAATTCAAAAACAACTATGCTTTATAAAACATTCATACGTACGTACACACACACACACACACACACACACACACACACACGGAGAGCTAAACAAATAAGTAAAGAACAAAGACTCGAAAGAGGCTGTTGAGTGAAATTGAAGGGCACCCTGGGGCCAGTTAAATCAGATATCTAATAAATCTTTTAACATCCATTTAACTACGGGGTACTAATCTCAGGGAGCCTCAAAACTGTCTTCAGAACAGGGCCTGAAGTCCCAGGTTTTTTGTTTTATTTTGTTGTTGTTGTGCTGTGTTTAGAGGCCTAATTTTACTTTAAGTTGTCCCATGTCACTGAGAACTTCTACAATCCATCTCTGAAAAGGTTCAGTCTATTGCCAAGCCCTTTGCTCTCGCCCTTTTACTGGTATGGCTTTGGAAACCACAGAGCAGCTAGCTTTCTTCTGGCTTCCTGGACTCCAGCTTGGGGGCCACTCTCTCTTGACCTTTGTGTTACCCCCTATTCAGTTTCTTTCATTCTCCTCAGGTCCTAAGCCGAGCGACCCATCCCCAGCCAACAGTCTCATTTTCTCCTACTCATGAGATCAGGACGACCCTGCGTCTCCCAGTGACCAAGGTCAGAGGCAGTTTAGGGATCTTTGGCCTGTCTCGTCCTTGCGATTCCCCTGCTGGACCTGTCCTTGACCCTCCGTCCTCTCTCCTGGTCTTCAGACATCACTGCCTTGCTCCTTTTTCTTACTCCTGCTCCAGAATTTCTGTAGAAGAGAGAATCACAGTTTGAGGTCACAGCCGTGGAACTGGCCGGTGTGGCAGTGTGGTAGATGGCCTGGAGCTTACCTCAAAAGCTCCACAGGCTCTACACCTGCTCCATACAATAGAGTTCCTTAGATATAAAGCAACTGCCACCCAAGTAAATCCTGACACTTGCTCTCAGCCTCTCCAGGGGTGCTCAAATACAGCTCTGGAGAACTTAACCCCTTCTCGACATGAAAAGCGGAACACCCATTGTCCGTTTGGTGGTTCTCTGTGGGAACCACGGGCAGGCTTCTGGTGGGAACCACGTTCATATGCATGTTCCTGACAACATACGTCTTCATGAATATGTTTATACTCATGCAAGGGTTTTAAGTAGACACAGTATAACTTGAATGATTATAAAGTATCCAACATAGCTGCTTTTCTTACAGCCATCTGGAAATAGCGTGGAGGAGAGGCTGTTCTTGTTTTTCAACATGTTACATGTTCCCCTTTAGCACAAGCATACTCAATTCTATGGTAATATCACTAGGGACAGTGTGTGTGTGTGTGTGTGTGTGTGTGCAGTGGGCAACTGTCATGGCTTATCACACAGAATATCACCTACCCTACTCATTCATCACTCCATGACATTTAGGCCATATTAGCCTTAGGAAGTTCCGTCTTTGATTATAAATTAGGCTGATGTGCCTGGGGACAGTTCAGTCAATAAGTGCTTGTCTCTCAGCACAAGTACTCGGTTCAAGCTCTAGACTCTAAGTCTAGAAGCTGGGCATGCACACCTGTAATTCCAGCACTAAGGAGCCTGAGGCAGGTGGATCCAGGGCACACTCAGGCTAGCCTAATCACTAAGTTCTAGGCCTAGTGAGATACACAGTCAAAGATCAAAGTGGACAGCTTTGAGGAATGACACCCTTTGGCCTCCAAATGCACACACAAGCACGCACGCGCGCACACACAAACACACACGTGCACACACACACGCAAATGCATGCACACACAAGCACACACACACACTCGCAGATGCATGCACACGCGCACGCACACACAGATGCACACTTTTACATATTTAGATACATGCTGACACATTTAGGGGTGAAAATACATGAGTCCAGAAAGTTCCCTTAAAATACTTGAACAGGTAAGAGTAAGAAATGAGACAGACTGTTAGTTGACAGTTAAACTGGTAAAGACCATGTGGTTTGGGTTTCTCTCCACTCTTATGTGAATATGAAAAAATTCCTAATAAAAAGTTAAGATCATTGTGTGATTTGTAGACTCACTCAACACTCTTTCTCAGGGTTTAGAAGAAGGGCCCTTTTAAAATCACCACCACCGCTAAAACTAATACCTCAGTTATCACAAGAAATACTCATTTTAATGATCATGACCCACTCTCAACCTAAATGGCTTTGTAGCCTTAAGAACTCCCCCTGGGGCTTGAGAGATGGCTCAGAGGTTAAGAGTACTGGCTGGTCTTCCAGAGGTCCTGAGTTCAATCCCCAGCACCGACATAGTGGCTCACAACCATCTATAATGAGATCTGGTGCCCTCTAGAACTCTGTATACATAATAAATAAAATTAAAAAAAAAAGAAAAGAAAAGAAAAGAAAAATAACTCACCATAGAGGGCTAGGTGACTCCCTGGGCTGGGCTGACCTTCAGGACTTCCCACATTCCTGGATGCATCTTGCTGGCTGCCTAACCTTGATCTCACATCTGATTAATGGAGGGATCTGGACTGTCACCAGTACCCAGTACCCACTGATATGTCTGTGACTTTGCTAGCCATCCTAGACCCCACTGACACCTGCTTCAGCCTTTATGAACTAAGGCTGATGCTACTGCCTCCCCCTAAAGCATTCTGGGGAATATTTACGGTTATTTGTGGATGTTAAGTGGTTGATGATAGGTATGTTTATTATCTAAAGGATATTTTCTAAACTAGACATGTGGGCCATACCTCTAATTTCAGCACCTGAGAGGTGAAGACCGAAAGATCTTGAGTTCAAGGCCAGTTTGGGCTCAACAGTAAGATCCTTTGTGAAACATTTTTAAAAAAGGAAAACATATTTACTATTTAAGCCAATCTTGTTCTGTTTTTTGTTATTTTTCCCCAGAGTTCTTTTTAAATTAAAAATTCTTTTAATTAATTCCTAAAATTAGCATACAAAATAATGGGTTTCCTCATGGCATCATCATAAATATGAAAATTAAATTCTTGAAATCTAACTTGCATTGATTTTTAAATGTTACTCATCCTCTATTTGGAACCTAATTTTATAAATATGTGACTGTTACTGAAGACTCATTCTTAATTTTTACATTATTGATTGTCAGAATCAGTCCATAAATGGACTGACCCCATTACCCTAATAAACAGAGTTTGTCATAAGGTATTTTTATGCACCATAAGGTATGGTGAGGTGCGTGCCGGCATTTCCCAGGCATATTCCCTCCACTCGATTTCAGATTGCCTTCCTCACTCACAATACAGACCTCCTTCACTGATTAGGACGTGTGTGTGTGTGTGTGTGTGTGTGTGTGTGTGTGCGCGCGCGCGCGCGTGTGCACACACACATATATACATCTTCAATTTCCAAAATTTCTGTGTAGGAAATAGGAAAAGGGCTATTTTTCTCATTCTAAGCAAGATAGTTTGCTTTCAACATGTTTCCTTTCCAGCATAGACCAGCCCGTCCCTGCAGCCATTTTCAAAACACTCCAGCCAAACACACCTTGTTCCAACTTGACATAACAGGAAACTATCCCCGTGGTTTTTACGGGACAGTTTTACTGTACTTGTGTACTGTAAATGGCTTGTTAATATGTGCACACTTTACTGTATAACCCTTTGAAAGTGGAATAGTTACAAACCGGGGCTGTAATCAGAGCTTGGAGCAAACCGTCCTCCATGCTAAAGCCTGGATGCAAAGGGAGCAAACAGTCGTCTGTGATAAAGCCTGGACACAAAGAAAGGCACAGTGTAGTGACAGGCCCAGCCGCAATTCTCTGGCACCTCTGAAGCCATGTCTGTCGCTCACAATGTTGTGTTGTACTATCATGCTCGACACTGCATTACTTGAGTGGGCACTAGTGCAGCTAAGCATGGTATGGGAATTACAAAACGTGCTCTCTGTTCCCCGAGTGAGCTGATTTTAGCTATCCCTATACACAATGGCTTTGAAAGCCAGAGGCCAATAAAGCCAACATTAGCTCAGGCTGCTACAGCAGAATGCAGAGGCTGGGTAGCTTAGACAAAGGGCCAAAGGTGAGGTCCTGATGAGGGCCTCCTCTTGGTTCATCTGCTGGTTGCACAGCAGACAATAGGGGGTACGGGAGGAAATGCTTATCTTTTGGGGATGTGTGCATGTGTGGAAGCCAGAAGTCAGCATCAGGCACTTACTTTCCCATCTTTGCTGAGATAGGGTCTCTCACTGACAGTATGTTTGGCTAGAATGGCTGGGTCCAGATCCTCCTGCCTCTGCCTGCCCGGCACTGGATTACAGATGGGTACCAACACACCATCCAGGATTTTTATACAATGGACGGGAATTGAACTCAGGCCCTTAGATTGCACAATGAATGCTTTACAAGCTGAGCTGTTTCCCAGACCCCTGGCTGGCTGTCTTCTCCCTCCTCCCCCCCCCCCTCCTTCCATCCTCCCTCCCTCCCTTTCTTTCTTTCTAATGTGTGGCCCTGGCTGTCCTAGAACTTGCTCTCTAGACTAAGCTGGCCTCAGACTAAGAGATCTGCCTGCCTCTGTTCTGGGATTAAAGGTGGGAACCACCATGGCTGGCCTGATCTTAATCTTTTATTGTAAGGACTGGAATCCAGCTCACACTGGCTCCAGGATGATAACTCAATAACCTCCCAACTTCCAATTTCATGACAGTGAGCATTAGGTTTCAACATATGTAGTTAAGAGGCCCAAACACTGAGCTTACAGAACTTGATAAATAGGCATCTTGCTAAGGTCAGAGGTGGCAGATCCCCTGGAGCTGCAGAGTCCTCTGTAAGAGTAGTTCAGGCTCTTCTTAATCCCTGAGCATCTCTCCACCTCCTAGACCCCATGCCTTAAGCAATGAAAGAAAATGTCCAGTGACTAAGTGTAGAGAATGAAAGAAAGGGAGAAGCATCTGAGAAAGGGCTAGGAGGTCCCAGCCGACGCCTCAGGGAGTTTGACTCTCCGTCGTTAGCACTCGTCCTTTGCCATATGAGAGATCTACACTTTCAATGCATTTAATATTATATGTATTTTAACATTTTTATAATTTCTTTAAAAAAAAAAAAACAACTGGAATGCCTGTTCCACACTGTTCTGAAAATGTAAAGTTCCCAGATGCCCCAGAAACCCAGGCTTTCTGAGCGACGACTCAATGCCAAGTAACATGGGTGGCCACAGCATGGGTATCCCAAACAGAACACATAACGTCACCTTTTGGCAGAGCACACACAGAGTGTGTCAAACAGGTGAACGTGTGTTTGGAGCTGGGTGGCATCACCAAGGCATCTCTTTATGAATCTGCAAATAATCCCCAATCTGGAAAGAGATTCCCCTGTCCAAGTGGTTCAGGTGTAGGACACAGAGCCTGTAATAATTAATGTGGGATTCCACCGTTTTCTTCTTTTCTTTCCTAGTAGGTAAAGAATAGGCTTTTTTTTTTTTTTCACAATGAAGATGCACAAAGGAGAGGGGCTCTGCTCACAGTACTTTAGTGAATAATAATTTCGTCTCTCCCCGTTCTGAAAGGAGTTCCGAGCGAAGTCAAGGGAATGGGACAAACAGGAGATCCTCTATCAGACCCACCTGGTGTCTTTGGATGCTCAACAGAAATTACTATCTGAAAAATGTAATCAGTTCCAGGTAAACTGAAACCTTACTGTTCTTGTTAAACTACCACTGTCTACATCGGAAAACACAATTAGAGGTTAATTACTGCCGCCCTTGCATTCGGCATGGAATCTACTTACCCGGGAAGCGTGCTCCAGGGTTGTGACCATGGTCCCGCAGCCTCTGCGTTTGCACCCTGCACTCGGGGGCCAAAGGCATGAGTTTGCGGCAAGCCTGCCTCATACAACAGGGCTCTGACTCACAAAAACGAGCAGTTTCACACGTCCTAACCCACCTGTAAGGCTGAGCATGTCCTCACGCGCAGGTTAGCGGCTCGCTGCCTCCTCTCGGCGGCGCTGTACCCCATGCTCTGTGCCCTCAGTTTGTGTAGGTTGCTTTTCCTATTAAACTGTAGAGGTTTCACACACTAGGAATTACTAAAAGCAGTTAAGTGTTAGCAACTGTCTGTTTTTTTTTTTTTTTTTTCCTCCTCAATCTGTTTCTGGTTTTTATTTCTTTACCATGGAGACATTTTCAACTATTATGCAATTGAATAAATATTTTTCTGTTATTATAGCTTCTAGATTTTCTCTGCTGATTAACGAGACCTCTCCTCCTCCAGACCCCTTCCCTGCTCCAAAGTTATGTAAATACATTTTCTCTTCATATCATCTGAAATTGAGATTATAAACAAACATAATGCTGTACTGTATAGGCCAAGCTTAATACTAAAATGCATCTTTACTAATTATTTTTACTTCTTTGTCTATATGGACGCCTAAATGTGTTCTTCGCTTACTTTACCTGATTATCATATTTCTCAGAAACAGGCACAAAGTTACCAAACTCAGCTAAATGGTAAGAAGCAATGCCCAGAGGGCAGCAGCCCAGAACTCCCTCACATGGCCTGTGACTCAGATCCTGGCTGCGAAGCCGGCCAAAGAGATGAGTTCATCATTGAAAAGTTAAAGTCAGCCGTGAGCGAAATAGCACTGAGCAGGAACAAGTTACAGGACGAAAACCAGAAGCTTCTGCAAGAACTGAAGATGTGCCAGAGACAGTGTCAGGTGAGGGTCTGTCCAGGGTGGTGTTAGGTGAGGGTCTGCACCGGGGCGGTGTCAGGTGAGGGTCTGTCCAGGTGTCAGGTGAGGGTCTGTCCAGGGTGTCAGGTGAGGGTCTGTCCAGGGCGGTGTCGGGTGAGGGTCTGCACAGGGTGTGGGGTGAGGGTCTGCACAGGGTGTGGGGTGAGGGTCTGCACAGGGTGTCGGGTGAGGGTCTGTCCAGGGCAGTGTCGGGTGAGGGTCTGTCCAGGGCAGTGTCGAGTGAGGGTCTGTCCAGGGCAGTGTCGGGTGAGGGTCTGTCCAGGGCGGTGTCGGGTGAGGGTCTGTCCAGGGCGGTGTCGGGTGAGGGTCTGTCCAGGGCAGTGTCGGGTGAGGGTCTGTCCAGGGCGGTGTCGGGTGAGGGTCTGTCCAGGGCGGTGTCGGGTGAGGGTCTGTCCAGGGCAGTGTCGGGTGAGGGTCTGTCCAGGGCGGTGTCGGGTGAGGGTCTGTCCAGGGCAGTGTCGGGTAAGGGTCTGTCCAGGATGTCGGGTGAGGGTCTGTGTTTTCAGCTTTATTTCCAGCTATTGATGAGCTGCACAGACACCAGCCTGACAGGGGTACAGACAGTTTTATGACAGCTTTCTATTTCACTGTCAACTCAGGCCAGAGCTCCTTCTATAAATAATTCTCGCCTGAGTAAATTCAATAATCCCATGGGTATGTTAGCCTCTGGAGTCTTTCGGTAGCACAGTATTATTATCAATGCAATATGCATTGCATCAGAACAGTGATCACAAACCTCTGTGCCTAAAAAGCACACCCCAGTAGCCACCCACCACCCTCCCCTCCAGGCTTATCTATCTGCAGGTCTAGACTTTAGCGAGAGGCATGGCGCTACTCTTCGATTTATCGATGGGAGCGCCATGTGTTAGTCCACTTCCCACCATTGTAGCAAAGCACTCTGGGTAAACCATGAAGATTAAAGGTTCCTTTAGGCTCATGGTTTGGGAGTGGCCTGTGGTGGGCCCGATCTCCCAAATCTCCAGCCCCCTGGCCCTTAAAATCTCTTTGGAGAGTGAGCAGGAGCACACAGGCCTTTGCCTGTCAATGCCTGGTCGTCACCCTCGGCCATCAGCCCCTGCAGAGCTGTCTTCTGAAGCGCGGTCATGGCAACACTGGAGGATCGATAGTGTTTTGTCTTCCTTAAGCCAACTTTTGTTTTCTTCCTACTTTTTGCAATCGTCGGGGAGATTTAGTGACAGCACCCTTCAAACCCAGCTCTGGTTATCGGTTCTTGCCCATGTGAATCCAGACGCTAGAGACGTCCTTACCAGCCTTTCTCTGCTTCTAGCCTCCTTTCCCACCTCCGAATGTCGTTGCTACCTTTTTCTTCACTCACTCGGCTGACCCATCTCTAGGCTCCTCTCATTTCTCCCCGTCCTAAGGCTCACTGCCTGAGCAGACCCCTTTCCCTGAGATATTCTGCCCTTCGTTTCCCGGGAACGTTTCCTAGCCCTGGACCAGCCCTCTCTTAGGTGACAACCTAAACCGTCCTGAAGCATCTGCCCTCCCCCATGGCCTCTTCCCCTGCATTCGGGAGGGGACAGAGCACAAGGCTCCCATGTTCTCCTGCCCCGGTGACATTCCTAAGACACCTGTATGTCCCCCATCTTGAACTCCAGCTTTGTCTGGAGAAAGACATTGTTCTAACATTAACTTGAGTATGGATATAAACACATAAACCACACTGAACTGAAAATACTAGACACGGAAGAAGCCAGGCATCCTCCGGATGTAGGACAGGTGTGGGGCTTCTTCCCTGGTTCTGTCATAGTCTAAGATTAATCCTTGTCTTCCTGGAGGTTGGCCAGGGTCTCCCGGTATTCACCTTCCTAGTTTCCCACCTGCCTGTGAGAGCTATTTGCACAACTGCTGGTTTCAGCTTCTCTAGGATGGGACATTGGCTCTACCGTCTGTTTAAAGACCATGTGAGCATACATTTCAAGCTGTCTTCACAGGCAGAACCTGTGCCAGGATCACCCTCAGCAAATAAGCAGATTATCTTCCTAGGTCTTCCCAAAAGAGTCTGGGTTTTAGTTCACACTGCACGGACTAAAGAACTGTGTGTTTTGTGTCTACTTGGGGTCTTTTTGGCTCAGGTCCCTGCAAGTCTGCTCCCCAAAGTGCTTGCTGGGTAGGTGGGGACAGACATAAGGATCCACAGAGCTTTGCTAGCCAGACGGTCTTGCGGGATAGTAAGCTCCATGTTCGCCGAAAGATCCTGTCTCCCTTTCTCAATAAAATAAAACAAAGTGGAGAGCAATAGAATATACCCAGGGTCCACCTCTGACCTCCTTACATGTACATGTGCGCACACACACACACACACATGTACGTTACAGGCATTAACAAGGCAAACCTAATGATTGTGGAACATGCTCAAGAGGGAAAAAAATCTGTTGTCCTAATAAAAATATTTTTGAAAACTGAAAAGTAATTTGGTTCAAAAGTTTCACGATTTCTCTTTGGAAAAATAATCAACAACCCCCTGTTTTTTCCCCTTCTCCCTGTGTTTTATTTCCAGCTGACACGCATGGCCCGTCCTTTTCAATTACTGCTGACAGTCCCTTGTTTAAGTTTGTCAGTTAATTTGAAGGGTTAAAACCATTGCTCCTCTCGGAGCATTAGACAAGTTCCTAACTAAGCAGATGGCCTAAGATCTGTTGTACAAAAATCTGCATTTTACCAAGAAAGGGTCAGATCAGTAGAGGTAAATAACGCTGGGACCATAATATGCATTTGTGAAAAACTGTGTCCTCTCCTTTTAGCCACCTGACAGAATGTTCCACGTCTTGCACACAAATGCAGAAAGACAGCTATATGTTGCAGGTGCCAGTTGTGTCTGCGTCTTCTCGAGGCGCATCATTTGTCCTTCTGCAACCTTGAAATGCGTCAGCGCACACATCCCACGGCTCCTGTTTATTAACTATCCCGCACACCCCTCGTGTTGTTAAATGTGCAGGATTCTCCACTCAAGATTAATGACAAAAAGCAGTGGTTCTATGTCTTTCAAACGTCCATCCTGGGAAAGTTAACTTCTCGTTAGCTTGCTAATACACTAAGAACTAGAGCAACACTGTCCAAGAAACGCGTAATCCAAGCATAGGTCTAATCTACATTCTGGAGTGTTCACTGTTGGTTTTTGGTTTGTTTCATTGTTTTGGTTTTTGAGACAGGGTCTCATGTAGCCCAGGCTGCCTTCAAACTCACCTGAGATGACCTTGAACTTTCCACACTCAGTTATCACACTCAGTTTTTGCAGTGCTAAGGACGGAACCCAAGGCTCCACCCATACTAGATAAAGCGCTGTCCAACCTGAGCTCCAGCCACAACCTGGGTTTAAAATCTTCTCGTAGTCACATTAAAGAACTATAGAGAAATAAGTAAATTTGATGTAAGTAGTATGTTTATTCAAACCAGTATGTGTGTATGTCAAGACAGTCATTTAAAATATAATTAAAATGTAAAAATTATTAATGAGATCTTACAGTTTTCACACAAAGTCATCAAAAACCTGTGTCTATATTACACCTAGACATACCCACATTTCGCTGCTAAATGCCTGCTCTATATTTAGGTTCCATAAAATATCAAACTTACAGGGAGCTTCCTGTGCTTAAACTGTTCCAGACACGCTTGAAAATGTCCCAGTAACAAAACCATTTTCCCAGATAGTTGACACATTGACAAATAATTGATTTGACTTTCATGCAAAATTGTATCAGTTTCAAAGCTACAGCCTAGTTTTTAAAATCCATTAATTTTCATGCCAACTCGGGCTTATTGAATCCAAAGCAAGAAGACAATTCTAGACTTATCAATATCAACTTGCCCTTGTACTTTATAGTCAGGTTACATCATGCTGTGGACCATAATCTAATTGCCTATTTATCTGTCAAGTCATTGTTTCCAATGTGTACAATGTACATCTTAATTTACATTCTCACACCTGGATCATTACGCATCGAGTTTCCCCTGGATACTCGCACAGGCCACCAGCCTGGAGTTGAGGCTTTCCCACCAGACAGAAAGCCAGGCCGTCTCTTTGACACCCGCATAACATAACAGGTGGCCTTTGCATTAAGGTAAATTGCTTTTCTACTGTATAACTAATCATTTCGCGTCTCTTTAGTTTTTGATATCTTAACTCTACCTGAAAAATCCCCACTCTTTAAAACAGAGGATGCCTAAACCAATCTCATAAGACATCATTTTGAATGTTTTTAAACCTATTTCTGAGTCACCAGGAATGTGTGTGCCTACGTATTGTGATCAGCCCCTCCCAAACCCAGGCCCTTGGGAAAAACTTGTAGTTGAAGACTTTTTCTTTAATAAAACATCCTGAGAACTCCCATCATTTAAGCAGAATCCACTGCTCATGACTGCCAAAAAGTAGAGCTAACCCACAAAGCGTACCAACTGATGAACAGAAACTCAGAATGTGGCATATCCATGTAACAGGACATAATCCAGTCAGAAACAGGGATAGATAGATGGGTACACAGCACCAGCGAGCGATGCCGGCATGCTCACGTGTAATCCCCACTCCTAATGCCTCCTCCCTTCCACCATCAGACGGCCAGGCTCTGAAGCTCCCCACATCCACATGCAGAAACTTACCTCTCCATCCTGCTCCCCTCCGGATTCTGATCTCCCACCCACCTTCTGAGGAGTCCCACCCACGGCTATTGCCATTTCTCTCCTGTCCAGATCCTCCACTTCTCTTGTGAACTGCTCAGGCCTCTTGTGGACCCACAGGGTCACCTGTATTCCCACATACTTCAGCATAGCTTGACTGCCATGGGGAAGGAGAGGGACGAGGTTCCCAAGTCATCGATTTTGCCAGCTCTGCCAGGAAATCTGACTGATGGCCTTGGTCATGCCAGTATCTGTCTTCCTGTTTTATTAATCAGAAAGGACCAGCACTGATTAGAGCTCACGCTTTGTACTTTGTTCAGACTTCAGGCTGTCACACAGGGTGCCTGTTTGCTCATTTGTCCTTTGTCTTTATATCCAGGATGCTGAGCTCTCTGAGGGCAGTTAGTATCTGTGCCCCAGAGCACGCTCTAGGAGCTTGATGAGGATTTATCCAGTGAGTGAAAGGAATTCCGTAAGACAGAGGAAGCAAAAGAGGAAACATGCTTCACTTAAAATTAAGCACATTGCTTTTAGGTGCTAATTTTAATTTTTAATTATTTGACAGTTTCATTCATGTCTATAGTGAATTTTAGTCATTTTTGCCCATCATTACCCCCTCATCCCCCACCGTCTGTCTCCTTCTTCCTGACAAGCCCTCTTCCAACTTTCATGTGTGTGGGTTTGAGTGTGTGAGAGAATGGTATGTGAGTGTATGTGTTCTGTGTTCATGTATGTGTGTGAGTGTATGTGTGTGAGCGTGTGCATGAGAATGAGTGTGTGTACATGTGAGTGTGTGTGAGTGTGAGTGTGCATGTATGTATGTGTGTGAGCGTGTGCATGAGAATGAGTGTGTGTACATGTGAGTGTGTGTGTGAGTGTGAGTGTGCATGTATGTATATGTATGAGTGTGTGCATGAGAATGAGTGTGTGTACATGTGAGTGTGTGAGTGTGAGTGTGCATGTGTGTGTGAGTGTGTGCATGAGAATGAGTGTATGGGAGTGTGTATGTATGTGAGTGTGTGTGAATGCGTGTGAGTGTGTGTGTGAGATGGGGGAGTACAGGGGCTGGGTTTGTGGGCAACCTTGTAGGTTTCGTTAGGATTGCTTCCGTGGGTGTGGACTTAATAATCGGAGCATGGACAACTCGCCGGTGTCTACATCATGTAGACACTTCCCCAGTAGCCATTAACTACCAGTAGCTTCTCAAAGAAGGGTGGGTCCTCAGGGGCCCCCTCTCATCCCTGATGGAGTGTTGACAGGCCCTATCTTGCACAAGTAACCACAGCTGCTGTGAGTCAGGCCATGTCCACCAGACATCATGCCAAAGACTCCTCGTCCCTTCCCTTCCACAGTATTTCCTGAGCCTCCAGGAGGTGGGTGACGATGTCCCACTTAAGGCTGGAGCACCCACAGTGTCTTACTCTCAGCATTACAGATATAGACAAGTATTCAGAAAGCAGTGGAACAGGTTTGTTTATCAAAGTAGCAGTAGCAGCTTCTTCCTAGGACTTACAATCTCCCCATCATGCAGTCCTGGGTCTGAATTCCTTCCTGTGGAGCAAGCCTCAGACCCAGTCAGAGTGTGGCTGGCTATCTCCACAGCATTCACTCCACTATTGCTTCAACGGGCACGTGTTGCTTGACGTGTTGGCAGCACGCACTGGGTAATACCACTGGCACATTTTCTCCCGTGGCGGCCTGCAATGCCCATTCTGGCACTGCAAAAGCTCTCCTGCAAGGAGGAAGCTAGCAGCTTGACTTCCCCATGCCTTGCAACCAGTGTTTCAGCAATAGGATCTGGTGGGCAACCTAGAGCAATAGCAATATCCTGTTTTGTCTTGAGGACCAGATTTTTTTTTTTAACGTACTGCGCACCATAATTCTAAAGCGAGTGTCAAAAATTCTCCTTTTAATGCAGGCCATGGAAGCAGGACTGTCAGAGGTGAAGAGTGAGTTGCAGTCGCGTGATGCTCTCCTGAGGATTATAGAAATGGAGAGATTGCACTTGCATAGAGAGCTGTTGAAGATGGGAGAATGCCAGACTGCTCAAGACAACAGGAAAAGGTACAGCTCTCACCGTGCAGAGAGACTCCTAAAAGCAGGCTGTATGTGTGCGTGAGAGGGCTTCACATCTGAGCTGGAATGAAGTTTATTCGAATCACCATGCATTCTTCAGGATATCAGTAGAAACAGCAGTGAAGAGCTGGCGTTTAGTTGTAGATTTGCAGAGAAATGTGATTTATTCTAATTGTTTCTGCTGTGGCTGCCCATAAGCCTGATGCTAACCTTTTCACTTGCTGATGGTGTGGTACGTTTGCCTCTGCCCTCACAATCTGTCGCTCATTACACAAAGTTATTGCTTGTCCTGGAGGGATGACTCAGTGGTTATGACTCCCAGAGGACCCTAGGTCAGTCCCGGGCATCCACGTCAGGTGGCTCACAAATACTTGGAACTGCAGTTACGGGGCACCCGACGCCAGGCACACTTGCACCCATGTGCACAGACACACATACATATGAGTAATTTAAAACAGGACAAATCTCTTTTTAAAAAGTTAGTACTCACACAGATTTTTCCCTCCATAGGAGTAGACATAAAGTAGGTCTCCTGAGGACTCAGAGTTTGCGTTTCTGAGGAGAAAGTCTGCTCTCTTTAGCAATTCACTGGTGTGGAACTTTCTTCTCAGAGTCAGCAAGCTAATGAAACAAATGATAGGATTTAAAAATCTTAATAGCTAAATTATCAAGGGTATTTTGCTGAGAAATGATTGTCACTACTTTCCAGGCAGTAATAATTTCTTCAAAGTTGTAGGACATGATGACACAGAAAGATGGCTGGGTGGTTAGGAGCAATGACTGATTATGCTTCCACAAAGCCTGGGTTCAACTCCCCAGATCCATACATGGCAGCTTATAACCACCTGTAGCCCTACTTCCACAGGATTCAATGTCTTCCAATGTCTGCTGGCACGACACACACTAACATGGTATACAGACATGCCTGCAGGAAGAATGCCCATCACACAAAATAAAAATAAATCTTTAAAAAAAAAAAAAGCCATTGTCAAGCTAGTCATGAAGGCACCGACCTTTAATCTCAATACCGTGGAGGGAGAGGCAAGCAGATGTCTGTGAGTTCTAGCCCAGCCTGGTCTCCACAGGGAGTGTCATTCTAGCTGGTGCTCCAAAAGAACGAAACTAATAAATTCTGTCCAAACATAGCCTGCTTTCTTTCAGTACACAGTTCCTACATATTTGGCCAATGCAAACTCTTCTTTATCCTCTGTCAAACTGTGTGATCATTTCGGTCCCCAAACCACGTCTTTTTCATTTGGAGCCCCCCCCCCCCAGATGTCTCTTTCTGGAACGTAATGAGATGTCGTGTCCTGAGCATTACAGCTTTCCTCTGTGTTAGACTCTTCAGCCTGCCTTTGCCTCCGCGGCTGCCTCCTGTCTGCTCTGGTGTCTGGGTGTCTTTGACTGGACCCTGCCTGTTCTTTACAGCCCCAGAGCAGTGCTTAGTGATGCTTCCGCTCATTTCCAGAACCTTTCCCATTTCCCTTCTTTACAGCACAAGCACCATGAGCTGACATGGTTTGCATCGTTGAAGAACAATTCCAAGACCCTTCCCCTAAAGGAAAAGCCATACTTCTTGTATTTGTATTAGCATGGTCATGTTTTCTAAGCACTCGTCCATATCAGAATGGCTTCCATTCACCCCCTGAACCGGGCAGCTCACCACACGGCGTTGGTGGTCGCTTTAGCACTGCAGCCCTTGCGAGTGAGTGCCTGGCAAGAATCTAGAAACGAGAATGTTCTTTTCTCCCTTTCCAAATCATAGCAAGTGGGAGATTTTAAGTCTCCTTTTGATGCTTTAGACGACTGTTAGATAAAGTGGAAATACAGCACATTAGTCAGTGAGAAACAAACAGGCACTGCAAAATAACATGCAGTGTATACTCTGCTCATACAGAAGCAAGTGATGAGAGGCATGTCCCCTTGCAAACGGGGAGAGGACAACACTCCCAGAAAGCTGACTGAGGTTCTTCCAGGGCCATTACACAATAGTGGCCGTTATGCCAGCAAACTGAGTCAGCCTACATAAACTCGCATGTGGGGTGTGTGTGTGTGAACTGTGATGGTCAGAACCCTGCTTAGACACCTATACCTCAGGAAGACTGATGTGTACCTTAGAGATCCTTTATTTCTAATCCGTACATTCTTTCTCCACCATTGCTCACATTTGGAGTTGTGGTTTTGTGTTCCTAATATTTGGAACGCCCTCGGGATGTCCCCAGAAAGCCACTCATGCTCCCAGGTGGCTCCCATTGAGTCACAGCAGACTCCCTGGCGCTGCGGTGGGTCCCACCCCAGCCCCCTGCTCTTCGGTGCTTAGTGGCTGGTTCCAGGTTACTCACCAGCTGTGCTTCTCTGAGCTTCAGGTGGGGTCGTCCTTCTGCGGGGGACCTCCCCTCCCTCCCTGCCCCCAGGTTAACAAGTGGCTGCTTTTCCATTATAAATGCGAATAGCCAAACCCGGGCACATTAGAGTTCCCTCCCTGGCCACAGCGTCAGATGTCATCCTCCTCGGTGCTCTGTGGGCTGTGCCCCCACGGACTTTGCATGCAGCAGCAGTGATGTGTTTCCATCCAGGCTCCCAAGCTCTTTTATTACAAGAGGCAGTCTTTTCTTCTCATTCAAAGATCTCATCTCCAGGGGATGGAGCGCTGGCTTAGAACAAGCACTACCAGCGGCTCTTCCAGAGGTCCTGAGTTCAAGTCCCAGCAACTACATGGTAACTCACAACCATATATAACCCAGTGAGTGCCCTCTTCTGGCCTGCAGGCATACAAAGAAACAAAGCCCATGTGTGCACAAAATAGATAAATAAATAAACTTTAAAAATCTTTTCTACATCTGCAACCCCAGTATTCTGCCTATTTAACATATAATTGAAATGCCTACCAACTGCTACCTTTCCTCTCATTAAAACCACTCTCACTAAAAAGAAAAAACAAAAATAGTCTCAGGACTTGGAAGTATTCGAATTTACAATTTCTGTAGCTACCGGTGTTGACAATATAGTGATCTATCTTCACAGCTTCCGAAGGTCTAGACTAAGAATATAATTAACAATTCGCCGAGTTGAGCTTAAGTGTTGCCTGCTTTGTTTTTAATTTGTAGACTTGAAGCATCGTATTCCCCTTCTACTAAAGAAGCAGAGAGGAAAAGGAAAGACTTGTTTTCGATGGTCTCCGACCAACCAAATCATGAAAAAGAGTTAAACAAGGTATGGGACATGAGGAGGTCCATTCTTCCAGCTCTAAAGTCTCCGCATAACTCTTTTAAAATCTTCCTTCATGCCCCCTTCTTCCTTCTGCTGTATTTTCTCCAAAAGAAATCATCTGCCAAGCGGATAATTCCCATATTCTGGGAGAACACAAATCTTGCATAATTCTGCCAGTGGGAGACTGCGGATGAAATTCAGAGGCAGGCATGCCTTCCTGAGAGAGCCCAGCTTGGTGCTCAGCATGTGGGTGACCTTGGGGCACCTGCCTGCACGCCCCGTCTAGGACGGGGTAGATCGTACTGTAGACACAGTGAATGAATGCCTGTCACTCCAGATAGGGCATTGACTATAGACCGAAGGAAGGATTCCATTCAAGGCTCATTTGTTACACTGATGAGTATATTATTACCTACAGAAGGGGACGGGGCATATTTACAGGAGCATGTGTGAATCAGAGGCAGCTGCATCACTGCAAAGCCGCTTGCTGCAGGAGGGCAATGCATCGAAGAAGCTCTGAAGTGCTTGGCTGGCAGCCCCCATGCAGTCTGCTGCTCCCAGAAACTGTTAACTGCTTTGGGGATCGCACATCTTTAGGGTGCCCTGGGCCTTCCCTTGCAGGGTTTTGTTAGTTTCCTGAGTCTCCTGAGCTCTGTTTCCAGTGCAGGAGGGAATGTTTCAACTCAGAGGAAATAGAAACACAAACACAACTTCCAACCCCCTGAGGTTATGATGGGGTGGAATGAGCCAGCGGCTTGTGGCTCTTTCCACGTGCCCGGAACAAACTGTCCCAAAGATTTAACAAAGCCTTCGTGTCACTCAGTCCCCACGATCAACTTTAAAAATGGGATCTATGTCTCCCTCTTTTTGTATTAGATGAAACTAAGACACAGAGAAGTTGACTAATCCCCCCACATTCCACAGATAAGTGGTAGATGAAAGTTTTGAATATGGGCTGTCTCACCCTAGAGACTACCTGCCGAAGTCTGTTAAAATCCATGAGCTAATAATGCAAGTCACAAGCTTAGAAAGAGCCTGGCTCAGAGCAACAGCTGACAGATGTGGCCAGTGGTAGGCTGGGCCTCGTCCACGTTTCTGAGGGCCCATCATGGACCAAGCACTCTGCCAGGGTTAAAAACCTCAGATGAGGACAGTCTGAGCCTGGTTCATATGGGGCCTGCGGTCTTCACTCTTCACAACCAATATATCTTCCTTGTAAGGATTCTACCGGTTTCAATAGGAAATCCATTAGAACGACACATCCTGACTGGTGCGGTGTGGTAATTCACACCAATAATCCTAACACTGGTGGAGGTTGAGGAAGGGGAATTGCAATAGATCTGAGGCCAACCTAGGCTATATATCCAGATCCTGTCTATCCTTCATCCCCTTAAAAAACTGAGAACTAATGCAGGTCCAGCACAGAAACTGTGTTAGGAAGCAATTGTTGTTGCTTTCCTCTTCTGAACACTGATAACACATAATCCCATAAAGTTGATTTTACTGATTTTAGGACTAAGGTTTTTCCGCCCGCTGCTGGTCTTGTCCCGCTGCCACACCAGCCCCAAATAACGCACAGAGACTCTGTATTTGATACAATGCTGTTGGCCAGGTACAAGTTTCTTATCGGCTAGCTCTGTCTTAATTATTAATCTATTTTTGTTTATGTATTTCCACGTGGTCTCATCTTACTGGAGAGCCGGCTGGTGTCCTGCTCTCTCCAGACTCTCCATCTTGACTCCTCCCTACTACTTCCTCTTTCCTCCCGGTCTCCTAGTCCCGCCTATCTTGCTTTCCTATTGGCCAACAGTGCTTTATTCATTAACCAGTATGAGAAACATATTTACAGAATGACATCTCCCATCACTATAACTTTCAAAACCTGTTCTATACTGCTGTTTGCGAAGACTGTATACAAGGAGTGACAAATGCCATGTAGAGTTAGACTCTCCTGGAGCTCAGAGGCTTCTGACAGAGTCAGAGTAAAATAAGAACCATCTGAGTCAGACTCTATGGGACAGGGAGAGGCCAAGGCACACATCCCCAGACCCCTGGAAGCCAGGCAGCAGTAGTTGATGACCGGGGTAACTAGCTGCAGCATTTCCATTCCGTTGTAATGACACCAACAAGTGCCATGCACTATGAGTCTTGTGGGTGGTTTTTCTTTTGTGGGTACAGAGCTGTTTTTAGCCCCTTATTTTGTGATAAAATTCACATTTTAAAAAAGCAGTCACTGGAAGCAGATAAGTCAATCTCATTTAGAAACACGCTCTATGGAAGAGCATGCTGTTTTAATATCTAATCACTGTGAACTAAGGGGAAAAAAAATCTCAATTCTCTTCCAGAATAGCATATTCATTTTCTTAACTTTCTGAGTTTCATTTTAAGGGGATGGTGCTAAAATACACCACAGGGGCATAAACAGTAAGATCCAGACTGTCCAACTGCAGAGAATACAGCTGCTTCACCAAGTAAACCGTAAGGAGGAAAAATAGATGGCGGAAGCAAACAGATTCAAAGGGAGTGGCAACATGGCCCAGTAGATAGAGGGGCTTGGTGTTAAGAGCCTGATGACCTGAGTTCTAGCCCCAAGACTCACGGTAGAAGGAGTGAACCAAAACACATGAGTTCTCTGAACTTCAGACTCTGTGTGATAGCATGCATGTGAACACACAAACAAATGTAATTTAAAGAGACCCATCACATACTTTGGGGTTAGGTCCTGTCACCGAGACTCTTGCTCTGAGGAACTGGACAGCATACAACACACCCCAGCTCCTGTTTGCTGAATGGCAAAGTTAAGACCATGTGATTTCTAAGTCACATTTCTCTAATCTTAGTAACCACAGCAGGACCAAATAAGGAGTGGGTGGAGCCTAGCCTAGGATGCAGCTCATTGACATCTGGACCCTCTGCAGTGGGTCATCTCTCTCTGGGTGTCAGTTCTAAACCCTGGCCAGCCCAGAGTTCAACCCACCACAGATGGGGACACAGGTCCTAGGACGTGGCTGCCTTTCATGAGGACTGTAACTAGAACCTGAGGTTATGGGACTGGACGAAAAGACCAGACAAACACAAAGAGAACACAGATTGGAAAAGGACAGCCAGGTGGGCGTAGTGGGATCCCAATCCGTTTCACAAACTTGAAGAGCATTGGAGATTCGGGCCAAGTTCACATTTGATTCTGTCTGAATAGTTGGTGATGTGAGAGAACCGATTGTCAATGCACTATAAAGTGTGTTCTGGGGGAAGAGAGGACAGAAAAAGAGAGAGGGCACCTTATTCCTTTACAGGTATACACTGATTTTTAAAGAGGAAATATAAATAGCTATTTCTCATCTTTTAAGTGAGTATATTCATAGAAGTCTCTGTGCATTTCCTTGATTCCCCTCTCTGGCCTTATTTCTGGGAGCACAGATGACTGAAACACCCAAGACTCCTCAGCGAACACAGCTCTCTGGTTCCACCCCGGCTGTTTTACCCGGGAGTCCGTCTTCTCTAGGCTTTCCATCTACCCTTCAGTATTTTGCCTCCTTTGGGAGGACCATCCTAATACAAGCTGGGTTAGGTGCCCTCCAGGACATTCCTCAAACATCCGTTACTACCCTGTGCTATAAATGTTTATTTTTCTCCCTTTACCCCATATATGTGTGTGCCGAGAGAATGGTTGTGTGATTTATCTCTGACTCCCAAGGGTAAGATACAGTGTGTAATCTTGTTGTTTGTTTTGTGAGGTTTGTTGTTGTTTTTCGAGCCAGGGTTTCTCTGTATAACAGTCCTGCCTGTCCTGGAACTTGCTTTATACTAGGTTGGCCTGGAACTCTCTGATATCAACCAGCCTCTGCCTCCCAAGTGCTGGGATTAAAGGCGTGCACTAACACAGCTGGCTGAATGATTAGTTGAGCCTTTGTTTGTTTGTTTTGTTTTTTTGAGATAGGATTTCTTTGTGCAGCCCAGGCTGCCCTGGAACTATCTCTGTACAGGCTGACCTCAAACTCCCACTATCCACCCACCTCAGCCTTCCAAGTCCTAGGATTAAAAGCATGTGCCAGCCCTGCCAGGCCCTAGTAGTCTTGAAAACGATGCTCGGGAGTGTGACCATGGCAGGAGGAACAGGAACAGAGGGTCTGAGAGGTTGAGCTGGGCTGCTGCCAGCTAGATTTGGAAAGCTGAGTGTGGTGAGGAGTCCAGGTCCCCTGGGTCCTGTTATGGGAAGGTGATCAAAGGTGAGGAGAGACTCCGAGGGTCAGGGGAGGCTGGTTAAGACACCCTTTCTTCGAGGTTCTGAGATGCAGTGTAGATCAAACAGTGGGATTTACACTTGTTTCATATTTTTTTAATTTAAATTAAGGTTTTATTTCATTAAAGCCAAGAACTGTGAGTTCTAGGCTCAAATCTGACACTTTCTGTACGATCTGAGCATGTTGCTTTCCTTTCTCGGGTCCTTTCTTCTTTTCTCCATAAGAAAGTCCTGATGGCCATACTTGGTGGTGTGCACCCGTAATCACCTAATTTTGAGGCTAATGCATGAGGACCAAAAGATAAAGGGCTGTGTAGGTAGACCCTGCCTCGAAAACAAAACAAAGTACTCCGTAACAATTTCTGACGAGTCTACACGCACCAAAGCTGCGTCGTATATGGCAGAAAGCGATGGACTTTGGGGTTGGGAGAAAACTGTGTACACGGTTTGCCAGTCAGCACCGGTCAGAAAGGGGGTGTCGTGGGTCACGGACATTGTCGGGGCAGAAGGACGAGGGGCAGCACGAGCTGCAGATGCGCTGTTTGTAAGTGAGGGGGGCGGTTCATGTCTCTGGGCTCGCTCTCCCTGCAGATGAGAAGCCAGATGTATCCGGGGGAAGGCGGACATGCGGAGCAGGAGCGCATGAGGAGCGAGATCTCCGACCTCACCCAGGAGCTTCACCAGAAGGACATGACTATTGCAGCTGTCATGAAGAAAGCCGCCCTTCTGGAAAGACAGCTAAAGATAGAACTAGAAATAAAAGAAAAAATGTTAACCAAGCAACAGGTACGCATGCAGGAGAGCACGTCCCCAGGGCTGACTGTTGCTCAGAGCCCACGGTGCCCCGGGCCAGCGTCTGAGACCTGGTGACAGAGATGCCCTTAAGCCCTGTGCCATGCCACAAAGTATCAGCAAAGAAACCCTAGGGACCTACAGGAGCGCTATGCAAGGGCAACCGGCCCCATGCTGACCCTCTCCTCAGCTGTCTCCCCAAACACACAGGCCCCCTTTCTTATCGGTTGTCTCCAGCAGCACTTTGCCCCCCCCACACACACACAGTTAATGGATTGCCATTAGTGTTTTAAACATGGAGGTGACGGCCTAAAAATGGACGCATATTTACTAAGCATCCGCTCAGCACACAGTGTGTCCTCAGAGGCAAGCAGACTTTGTGAGATTCTGCTCTTAAGAGACCGCAAGGGAGGCTCATGCCCAGCCTCCCTCCCTCCCAGCTCATTCTTTAAAATTCCTGCTTTCTTATGAATAATCAAATTTGTAACCTGCTTTTGACAGCCTGAGCTTTACAACCTCTTCACTCTAAATCTAAGTGGTTTTGGAGCACAAAACATGGACCAAGGGTCTCCACAAGAGCAGTTAAATCGTGTGTATTTACAGAACGAGGAGAGATTAGGCCTCCATCCAGTCACAGGCCTTACACGAGCACACAGGCAACAGGGCACTTATGCCTGGGCAGAGGGCTGTGCAGGCCAGAGTGGGCAGCTGCGCGTGGAGGAGACTCGTTTCCCTTTTCATATTGCCATGATCCCTAGATTTTTGTCAACAAGCGTGTATTCTGTGATTTACAAAAGTAAATCTTTTTAAAGCCAGAGTATGAAATAGAAATGAGCCTTAGGTATACAAAAGAGCCGGCCAGGAATGGAGGTACACATAGGCCATCCCAACATCTAGGTAGAAATCCGGGAAGGAAAAAAAGATACAGAATGAAGTCATAGGCAAGCAAGGAAATGCAGCCAGAACACCAGAAGGAACAAATTAAGCCAGATACTGCTTGCTGTAAAAGTTAACCGGGGGTTGAAGAAGCGTAATGAGCGGTCTCCTCAAAAAAAAAAAAAGGCTTTTAACAATCAATCCTGACTCTTCAGGTAGGAAAAAAGTAAATCACTACTTACGTGTTTTGAATCTGGCACTGCTGGAACAGGAGGAAAGGCCTGGAGAGGGAGCAGGGACCCCGACGGGTGGGGGGGGAGAGGGGGGCCTTTTCACTGCCACAGGGACAGAGCTGATGGACAGGATGACCTGTTCCCTTGTGTGTTTCACGTGTGCCTTTCATCTACTAATCTTTCAGGTCTCTGATGTGAGATACAGAGCTGTCCGAACAGAAAGCACACATCCTCTGAAAGGAATGATGGGGGACTTAGACCCTGCACGGTACTTGGTAATGCGCTGAATTCACTCCCCCAAACCCAGCACAAGGCGTTGTCTGGTCAGGGCTAAAGCCGCAGCCTGGGCACTGAGCGTGCACATCAGAGCCGGGCGCTGCCTTCCCGCGCCGCGCCGGCTTGCCCAGGCTGAAACACTTGCTTTGGGGACAATTCTGATCACTTTCCAGACATGCAAAGCATGAAGTTAATTGACTTTTAATCCTGAAACCCTATATCCTAGAAGGCCTGACTGAAGTGCCAACCCTGCAAACCCGAACCAAAACAATTAGGTCTGTCCTTGTTGGGTTCATGTTTGGCTCTGACTGTTTTGTACATGATTTAGCCCCTGGCTCTATCTGCTCCTCCAAACAAGTTAAATGGCGCCAAGCCTCTCATCTCTGTTGTCTGATGTAGCAGTCGATCGTCGTTTTTGAAGAACTTTCATTGGTTGAAATATTGAAATATTAGCATGACTTGTTATCTGTTTTTTTATTCACTCAGGAGGAAAAAAAATTTTTTTTAACTGTTCAAGGAACAGTAAGGGTAAGATAGGAAAATTTGGGCATCATGGTTGCTTAAGCTGCCCTTTCTCTTCAGACATAATGCGAGCAAGTGTCGGCCAGGCCCTTCTGACGCCCATGTTGTATTTCTATCATGTTGTGCACCTGTTCTCACATGAGTCCGTATTCCAGCATGAAGACAGTAGAAGCACCCGGAAGCACTGCCCCCTCCTCCTTGAGCATGGCTGTGGACCCTGTGACTGGAGCACAAATGGATAAAAAGGGAAGCTTGCTGGTCCTCCCTACCTGCTACATTAAAGCTCTGCCCGTCACTCTGCCTTTTCATTCCCCAATGTAACTTTGGGCCCCCAAGTGTTTGCCTGTACACATCCAGGTCGCCATAGCCCTGCCGAGGGCCTCCGCTCTGCTCCTGTAGGTTTTTGGCTTTGTTCATGAATATTATTTGACTTTTTTCAAAGAACTAAAACTCACAACGATATATAAAGCAGCTGCTCATCGCCCACACCCCTTCCCCTGGCCACACTTAGGCAGCAGAGGACTCTGTGGTGGCAGGCAAATGGTGGCGGCTCCTACAGCTTTTCCCTGGCCTTCCCCACAGATACGGTAGGGAGCTGGCCTCCGGCTGTGTGTGTGGACAGCGAGTCCTAGGAACATTCACACTCATTTAAAGTGCACATAACTGTCTATGAATGTCTACACTGTGCATGCAGGTGACTTCAGAGCGCATGTTTTCCTTGCTTGTCTCCACCCCCTCCTCCCACATCTAGTCCCATGCGCCAGGCGGTACTCATTCATATCTATCACTTTGCACATGCATGCACCCATATAAACACACATGTGTGCTTATTTGGGGATTTTACCATTAAAAAAAATAAAGGGTCACAGGCTTAGAGGGATGGCTCAGAATTTAAGAGCCCCCTACACGGCAGCTCAGCTACCCGAAAGTCCAGTTCCAGAGTATCTGATGTCATCTTCTGATCCCTTCAGGCCCCTGTGACAGAAGGCACACAAACATACACACAGAGAGACATGTAACGGTTTTCTGAAATCTACATGTCACACTTCCGTGTGTCTTATCTTAGTTTGATCTGATAATGCCTTTCCTCACCAACTGGCTCAGGCATATTCTGCCCTTCATAATAGTTGGTTAATATGCCATGGTGTTGATATTTCAAAACTTATTAGACTGTTTTTCTTAAGTATTTCAGTGCATTTGACTCTGCTTCCATATTTTCACCTGGATAAATAGGTCATAGAGCATCCCAACATGCATTATCTTGGAGCAGCTCCCTGGAGGAGGAACCCCTGGCTCACAGGAAATGTGTTTTAATGTTAATATCACCGTCACGGTCCATCTCTTTTCCATCACTATGCTTTCTCGTTGCTGGTATTATTACTACACTAACTTTCTCAACAGCACTTTGATTTCCATCATTTTCCTGCATTAATTGGTAGTTTGTAGCAATATGAATTAGATATACTTTATGTATATTTTCTCTGATGTTAGTTTTCTTCTTGTTGTCAATTTATAGAAGCATTTTCAAGAGACCTTCATATTTCTGAAACTTTATATTTTTCCCATCCAAGAAGTTCTAAACTTTGGCTTGCCGAAAATCACTCTCTCGGTGGGTACAGTTGGGGCTTCCTTCTTTGATAACAGGGTTTCCACATCTACATATACAATTTCATCTTTTGCAGAGGTTTTGTGCTTTCCATATAATTGTTCGATCCATTTAAATTGTACTTTAAAATGCAATGTGTAATAGCAGTTGAAATTTTCGTGTAGGCCAACCTCAAGGCAACAGGCTTCTCTGTAATTTCTCATGGGTTCTATCTGAAATTGAATTCATTTTTGTGTTAACTTTGAAGACAAAGCTTTTATTATAATAAGATATAACATAATTCCCCATTTCTTCATAATACATTTCCCAGTAATGCAAATTTCTTTGAATAGTTCCTGTTTCCTTCCTTTAAAATTATTTCCCAAGTTATTTCCTATTCTTGTCACTGTTATAAATGGAATATCTTGCTTTTACCACATCAAGCAGCTAATTGCTAATATAGACGAAGGTCCGGTTAGTTTATTCCTTCTAGGTCAGTGGTTCTCAACCTTCCTAATGCAGCAGCCCTTTAACACAGCTCCTCATGCTGTGGTGACCCCAACCATAAAATCATTTCGTTGCTACTTCATTACTGTTATGTTGCTACTGTTAGGAATTGTCATGTAAATATCTGCCATTTCCAATGGTTTAAGGTGACCCTCAAAGGGGTCATGATCCACTGCTGTTCTAGAAAGCACTTCCCTAGGGTAGTTTAGCTCTCTGGCTCTCTCTTTTGCAAAGCTCACACCTGTTCTTGTCCTTGTCGCAGTGCCCTAGCTAAGGCCTCCAAGAGAATCTAAGTCATGGCAGTACTCGCTGGCAAACTTCCTGGCTTCTGACGAAAATGTCACACTTTTGGGGTTTTGCGGGCTGTGAGTTTGTTTTGGATCCCTGACCCTGTATCATTCTTTGTGCCCTACTGTAAAATGCAGCGCTGCCGCCGCTGCCATTCCCACAGGGGTCACACTGTGTGAGCCTTCCCTTTGCATTGTTGATGGGTCAGACACTACATTTCCCAGTTTTCATCCAAATTCAGGTTCCTGGGATAAATCTTGCTATCAGTGTGTTTGCTTAGAGCAGCAGAACTCTGGGAGGAGGCCACAAGTCCCAAACAGATGTCCTTGGGCCATGCTCCCTCACCCACTCCCTCCCTCTCTTCCCCTCCCTCCCTGCCTGTCCTCCCCCCTCCTCCCTCCCTCCCTCTCTGCTGGTCTGTGATGTCTTCGGTATTCTCTGGGCAGAACTGCACCTCGCACCAGCACTTTGTCTCAGTGTGCTGTAGTTCCCATGTCTGTGTGGTCCCGTGATTCTCAGAAGTCAGATTGTCCTTTCGTTGGGCATTAACTTCAAGTCCATGGCCTCTGCAAAGATCCTGTTTTGAAATGAGGTCGTATTTGGAGACACTAGGGGCTAGGACTTCAGGATTTTCTAGGGAGCCTCAATTCAACCCGTAGTAGTCAATGTCTGTCAGGGCTAGTGCATTCCTGGGTCAATGTGATGAGTCTTTATTTAAAGTGACGTCTGGCCACAGCTCCTGCACTTGTTTTTAAGCCCACAAAGGTTCCTGGCTCAGGGGCGTCGAAACTTTTAAATAATAAAATACTGGCCTTAGTTACCGAAAGTTGGAACAAACAAACCAGCCCAGACACGAAGGAGCTCCCTCTGCTTCTTCCTCTCGGCTTATTTAAATCTATTTTTTTAAAGGTCATTTTGGATAACCTGCATCTTTTTTAAGAAATATGCTCATTTCAGTTTGTTTCTTATTACTGAAGTTAATTAGAGCCAACGACTTAATTCATCTCCATATTCCAAGTTTTACTGTTAAGTTTTCTTGTTTGAGGCAGTGTCGATCTGTTTATCCAAATTCGTCCTCCACCTCCCGGCATCGGCCTCCTGTGTGCCAGGGTCACGGATGTCAACCGTCGGGCCCAACTCGGCTTTCAGTTTCCTTTCTTACTCTTGGGCTTGGATAGCTGAATGCACTCTCTTCCATTTGCTTTAATTATGACTCACAAGTTTATTTTACTGGCACATCTGTGGACCACATGTGTGCAGTGCCTGTGGAGGCCAGAAGAGAGTGCACCAGATCCCCGGGGCTGGAGTCACAGATAACTGTGATCCACTGCGTGGGTGCTGGGAATTGAACCCTGGTCCTCTGGGAGAGCAGCCAGAGCTCTTAACTGCTGGGCCCTCTCTCCAGCCCCCTATTTCATTTATTATTAGAGCTTATCTTTTTTGTTGTTGTTGTTTATTTTGCTTTATTATACTTTTCAAATGTTATGAAATGAGGAAAACTCTTTTCCTATGTATTAAAATTCTGTATGTTAAAAAAATCCCATAATCAGATAATTATTTCAGCAATGATTGGAATATATAAATATAAAATTAAATGATTAGAGCCGAAATTTCACCCTAGACAAGGAAATCACTGATCTTGAGATTGGTCCTATCTAAATAAGTGCAGATTTGAGATCATTTCTGGTTGCCTGATTCTGAAGCTCTTTGCTTCCTTCCTTTGAGGAGAAGAAAGTTGGTCAGCGATGCCTCTGGCGGGGAGGGGGCGGGAGTAGGAGGTAGATAGAAAGCTGTTTGCAGGCCACTGCCTTGTGGGCAGCTTGCTCTAGCTGTGAAGAAAGGTTGGCTGGGCCAGCCACAGAGTGGCTAAGTTTCTCCAGGTCTCAGAGAGCTGCTTAGATGACCCCTCAGAGTCTTCATCCAGAATTCAGACCTTCCTCTGCATTTCCTAAGCTGTAATAGTATGCAGGAAAACAGTAAGTAGATGTAGCCTTTGACACAAAACAAGTAAACATTTTAATAGCCTATATGTACGTATTGCATAAATATATTTATAAGCTTATTTTCAGTGTTGATATTAATGATGGTATGGACGATTACCGATATCAGCTATTTGAAAGTGCGGGGAAGTTGGGAGTGACTCTGAGTGTTACTCTACTTGAATGGCTCTCAAAGCTTGGGGACTGAGGGACTTCAAAAACAAAAGCCCAAGCTCCAACCACTCAGTTTTCAAGGCCTCGAATCCCAAATGTTTGGAGAATCTAACGCGATGGGATGCCCAAGTCAAGCATTTTGTGCTAAGGTATTCATTCCCCTTATGACCCCAGAGAACTACTGTTCTGTCAGCCAGCCACAATGCAGCTTGAGATAGGCAACTTGCAGGACTAGACAGGGGCAGACAATAGAGTGTCACACAGAGCTTCCCCACAACTTGCTGTGTCAGAATAGAGTCTATCCTACAAAGCTTTATGAAAACAGTAAACACACACACACACACACACACACACACACACACACACACACACCTGCTCTGGAAACTTCCCATAGTGTTTAATTGAAACAGCCTGGGAAATCTCTAAGCCCTTGTTCAAGCCATTTATTTTGCAATTGAAATGTGTTTTTGTTTTATATTCTGGAGACAGTGTGTTAATAGATCAGGTAGCGAATCTCTACTATAAAAGGACATTGTCCCAAATGTGTAGTATTGGCTCTGTCTCAACTGCAAGATCAATGCAGCAAAATAGTCCAGATTCCCACCCCAATCCACGTAAGTTCAGCATCTAATTTGTTACATAGCCAGCAGTGGGGTGTGACTATTTTAATCAATATGAGATTTGAATAATTGGAATAATTTATTATTTTTACTGTCTTCTCTACTTTGATAGCAAAATTAACTCAAAATAAGCTAAAGAAATAATGTGAAATAATGAAGTCATAAAACAAATAGAAAGTAAAAATAAATATTTAATAGATCTTAAAAAAAGAAAATTGGAATGTGAGGAGCAAAGGAAAGATGATGTTTCACTAAATTAAAACAACAAAACTCAAAGTTCATTTCTAGATAAAACACAACACACGTCATATACCATAATTAAAACTTCATAAGTATCTTTTTAAAAACCACACAGACCATACCTTCAACCAACTGGAGGGACACTGGATTCCTGCCTCTAGTGTGGAAATATAGTTTGGTGTTGGTAAGCAGAGACTCCTGAGTGGAAAGATGGCCAAACAATACACAACAGTACTGAAATGACGTAGAGTGAGAATTGCCCCAAGAGCATGAATACACGCTCAACTTCACTGATGAAGGCTGCTGTTTAGCTTAGTAAATACTGCCGATACTAGCATTAAATTGTGAGTGTAATAAAGTAAGACCTTTAGTTTATTGTTGGTGGGAATTTATGAGATTCTTTGAGGGAGTGTGTGTGTGAGTGTGTGTGTGTGCGTGTGTGTGTGAGAGTGTGTGTGTATGTGTGTGTGTGTGTGTGTGTGTGTGCATGCATGTGCCCTTGGAGAGCAGAGGAGGGCATCGGAGCCCTTGGAGGGGCAGTTAGCGGTGGTGGTGAGGTGCCCAGTGTGGATGCTGGGATCTGACCGCTTTGATGAGCACCAAGTGCTCTAACCACTGAGCTCTCTCTGCAGCTGTGATGTCTGAGAGTAATGAGGGGATTAGCCCTTCCCAATGAGACCCCCAGAGACGTTCATTCAGTTTATGCTCATGTTCTAAAGGAATGCTAGTCTGTGTGTGAGCAAGTCACAGGGCCATTGATGATTTTTGAAACACCCAATTTTCAAGAACAGGAGTGATTAAATAAATTTTGCACATCTTTAATGCAGCTCTTAAAAGTCTTCTAAAATATATTTTAATTAATTTATTAATATTAATAATTTATGTGTAAAATGTTCAGGGGGAACAAAAAGTTCACGAAAACTATGTCACCTAGCTCAAGTGAAAGGGCCTTCCCAAAACATGTGGCAGACATGGGTGGCGTGTGAGGGCATTCAGTGGGGTTTGTTTTACTCCTAGAGTATGGACTTTGCTGACAAGGAGCAGCCACAGTACACATCGATTAACAAACTGGAGTACGAGAATGAAAGACTCCGAAGTGACCTCGCCAAGCTCCACGTCAATGGAAAGGCAGCATGGCCTAATCAGAGTAGCTACGATGAAACAGGAACATATGTCTACCGGAGCCAGCTGAAGATGGACACAAGCGGAGACAGGTATGCTGGCCTGGCCATCAAGAGCAGACATTTAGAAACGCCTTGGAGGAAACTCATAACTAATATAAAATGGCGGCTTCTTCGGGTGTTTATATTTTATCTGGTAGTGATAACACTATTTCATAAGAACGGCACTGGGTGGAGAGTTCCCAAGGAGTTTTGCTTGCTAGTCACTTCAGAATGCTCGTGCAAAAAGACATGCTGTGCAAATAAACGGGTAATCCTTTTAGTGTTGTGAGAATAGAGAACACTAGAGTTCACTGTGTCGTGATGCTGAAGCCCAGTATGTGAAAGTGTCGCTCCTGCCTGCCTGCCCTCCCATGACGCACACACTTGCTATATTCACTCTCGCCATGGTGGTCAACTGCTGGTCACATCCTCACAAGGGCGCTATGGACAATAAGAGAGTAGAGTGCATGGAAGACGAATACCCACTGTCCATTTTATCCTCACCATCTCACAACTGTCTTAGCTCAGTCCCAATGGACGTGCACAATGAAACACGCTAATTAAGTCAACATTGACAACGATCTATACAGTCAGACTAGTGCAGGACGCAGACCACTGTTTCCCCAACCTTAACAGCTGCTCAGCAAAGCCGTTCTTTAGAACTCCTCAGAGTGTGGGTCTCTGAGGACCATGGCATGCTGCCTTTACCAAACTTCTCTGACATGAGCCTTTCGTGGTGATTAAGAGAGTCCAGACCACCCTGGGACTCAACCTGTCCTCAGAAGCTTGAGATGCTTAGTGTGGATGCCTAACAGTGCTTTCATGGCTTCTTGTGTGTAGAGTGTTTATTAGTAGGATTGTATGAGGGAGCCTGTGTAATATGTGTGGTTTCATTCATGTTGGTCACTAATCACTAATATTATTAGTAGTAAATTGTATCTTTAATATGAATTACTTTTATAATATCCATGGTGACTAAAATGTGTATTTTGGTGACTAGACTAATAGCTAAACCTGAGGTTTGGAGAAGGTGATGCCAGGCTCATCTTGGTAGCTAAGCAAAGTCTATGGAACAAACCAAAAGGGGGAAACGGTCTGTTCAACACTCTCGAGTCACAGCGCCCTCTCCCTTTACTACCTCAGCCCCGTAGGTACCCACTTCCATCAGTCTACGCCTCGTCTCGTGGCTTCAGTTCCTTCACTCTGTGCTGTCCAAGCTGCTTCCTCTCCCTCTGGCTGGCAACTCCGCCCTTCTTCCCAGCATTCGCTCTGCTCCAGAAATCCTGCCTAGCTATTGGCCACTTAGCTTTTTATTAAACCAATCCAAGTGACATTTCCTCACAGTATAGAAAAAGATTGTTCCACAAGAGGTGGGGTTTACTATAGAGAGGGTCACAATATGAGTACTGTGGCGCCGGCGTCTTAGCGGGAGTGTACGGTGTGGTGTCATAGGCGGATGCCATGGTGCGGGCACCGTGTGCATGGTGCATGGTGCATGGTGCGGGCACTGACGCGGGAGCTACAGTGTGCATGGTGCATGGTGCGGGCACTGACGCGGGTGCTACAGTGTGCATGGTGCATGGTGCATGGTGCATGGTGCGGGCACTGACGCGGGTGCTACAGTGTGCATGGTGCATGGTGCATGGTGCGGGCACTGACGCGGGTGCTACAGTGTGCATGGTGCATGGTGCATGGTGCGGGCACTGATGCGGGTGCTACAGTGTGCATGGTGCATGGTGCATGGTGCGGGCACTGACGCGGGTGCTACAGTGTGCATGGTGCATGGTGCATGGTGCGGGCACTGACGCGGGAGCTACAGTGTGCATGGTGCATGGTGCATGGTGCATGGTGCGGGCACTGACGCGGGTGCTACAGTGTGCATGGTGCATGGTGCATGGTGCGGGCACCGTGACACAGGAGCTACAGTGTGCATGGTGCATGGTGCATGGTGCGTGCACTGACGCGGGTGCTACAGTGTGCATGGTGCATGGTGCATGGTGCATGGTGCGGGCACTGACGCGGGTGCTACAGTGTGCATGGTGCATGGTGCATGGTGCGGGCACTGACGCGGGTGCTACAGTGTGCATGGTGCATGGTGCATGGTGCGGGCACTGACGCGGGTGCTACAGTGTGCATGGTGCATGGTGCATGGTGCGGGCACTGATGCGGGTGCTACAGTGTGCATGGTGCATGGTGCATGGTGCGGGCACTGATGCGGGTGCTACAGTGTGCATGGTGCATGGTGCATGGTGCATGGTGCGGGCACTGACGCGGGTGCTACAGTGTGCATGGTGCATGGTGCATGGTGCGGGCACCGTGACACAGGAGCTACAGTGTGCATGGTGCATGGTGCATGGTGCGTGCACTGACGCGGGTGCTACAGTGTGCGTGCTGAGATGCGGGGGGGGGGGGAGCCATCATGACTGAACACGTTGGTCACCCAGGAGAACTGAAACCCTGTTGTAAGAGGTCATTTTCTAATCTAGAATAAGAGCCTCACGAAGCATGTCTCTACTTTCTGTCTCCATAGAGCAAAGCCCAGCTCCAAAGATGCTAGGACGTGTTGTACCTCTGCTGGCTGATGTCAGCGGGTCACTGAGGGCCCTGGGCTCCCAGCTCCTCCCCCTCCTCACCAGAGCAGCTCTGCTAGCGTCGGGTGAGGTGCTGTGCCACTTGCTCTACAGTTTGTTATTCTAGGAATAGCTCTCGGCCCTTAATCTCCCTTTGTCAGGCAATGCGGCATGTATTAAAAGTGCCCAACATAAACAAGACAGTGGGAGACAGAGGCAGGAAGGCGTAAAAGGCTCCGCGGGAGATTATCTTAATAAGCAGCCTGGACGGCTGCTCCTGCCACAGAGCTGTGCCCTGTCAGCTCCATTTGCTGCAAGTTTCATTAAATTTGTTTTAATGCCTCGTCTGATTTCAGTGTTCTTCAGTGACCTGGTTTTGAAAAGAAACAGCATTTCAAATGGTCTGAATAAATTATTGCCATGTAAAACCCACTATGGGGACGAGTTGTTGAGATGCAGGGGACACTGTGAGCTCAGCTCCCTGCTAATGCCCTCTCTGCCCAGCTCAGGGAGTCAAGTAGCAGAATGCATATATGCACACGTGTGCACGTACATGGGTGCGTGTGTGTGTATGTGTAAGTGTGTGGTATATGTGTGCATATGAATGTGTGTGTAGTGTATGTATACATTTATGTGTTTATGAATGTGTCATGTGTATGCATGGTGTATATGTATCTGTGTATATGTATGCATGTGTGTGTATGTATGAATGCATCTGTGTGTGTATATATAGGTTTGTGTGTGTATGTATGTATGCATCTGTGTGTATATATAGGTTTGTGTGTGTGTATATGCATGTATGTGTGGAGTCTGTGCATGTAGAGGGTGTTCATATATTTATCAGATGTAAGTTAGCCAGAAAATACCCAACTCATCTTTATCTATCATTGGGTTAAACTATTTGGAGAAGGAAAAATAGCACTGATTCATAAAAGTGAAAGTCACAGTCTAAGGAAATTCTCCTTTGTAATTGAGGAAGATTGGAGCAGTCTGTGATCTAAAACCTCTGCTATTCATTCCTAACTTTTGTCTTTCACTCCTATTTGAAGTGGTATCCTAATGTTAGCTCACTTGAAATCTGAAGCATTTTCAAGTGATCCAAAGTGTTTAGTTTCTAGAATGATAATCTATTCATCACTTTAAAATTTTATGAGGCTTAATGGAATTTGGTTAAAATGCTCTGACTTGTTCTTTAAAAAATAGTGTTTTGAAGTTGCAGGAGAATTTACAAGCTGATTTAGAGTATTGGGATCCAGATCTATTAATATAACTAATTTTAACGACAAGCCAATTTTGTAATAAATGGAGCTTGTCTTTATATGAGAATACACACTTAGAAGTGAAGGCATGGGGGGGGGGGGCTGGAGAGCTGGCTCAGTGGTTAAGGGCACTTACTGCTCCTCCAGAGGCCCTGGCTTCCGTTCCCAGCTCCCCCACTGGATGGCTTACAGGCTCCTGTCACTCCAATCTCAGGGGATTTGACTCCCTCTGACCTCCACCAGCACCTGCATCCAAGTGGGGCACATTAGCCCACACAGGCACACGCACACACATACATGAAAGTAAGCAGGTCTTTTAAAAAGGGAACTCATGATTTAAATTCTTATATCACGAACCAAGAAGACGCCAGTAATGGGAAACACGGATCATTGAGATGGCTTCACGTCTAGCTAATAAAGCCAAGTGTCTTATAGGAGAGAGCAACAAAATTAGCAGTTTCGTCATTGCTGCTTGCAAGGTCCCTTGTCAAGGGATGAACTGGAAGCCAAAAATAAGTTCTGGGAATTCTGAACTGTGGTACTAACCAGTAAGGAGCCAAACACAGCAGGCTTCATGCCGGGAGACAGTGCAGGCCGCAGAAGGGGAAGCTTCTGTGGCTGTGGAGGTTAGTGTAGGTGGTGGGTTTTTGTCCCTAGCTGGGACACCATGCCATAGTCTAGAAGGAGGACCTGGAGAGGCAGCATGGGCCACATGTGAGATGCCTGCACACTTCAGACAGTTCTGCCTCCCATCCGAGCAGATGAGCCTGCCGTGCTTAGAGGCCCCGGAGCAGCCTGTGGGAAAGCTAATTGAACAGTGAGACTTGTGAGTGGATATCAAAAGCTTTCTGCAATAATTTTTAAGCCCTTTAAATTGATATGTGCAGCATTTTGTGCAAGGTGGTTTTATGAAGTATTTGAGTAGCTATGTCCTAGAAGGGCTTTCAGCTATAAAGATGATTTAAGCCAAAGCACTTTACTTCATAATATAGTTTTCCCCTTCAATCGCAATATTTTATTGATCTTATAATTTAAAAAATGTTCCTATATAAATCTTAGTAATTAACGTCATAAAGCCATCTCTATGAATTCATAGCAAAATGGATAATTGGGATAATTAGTTAGATAATTTAGAATAAATAATACTTATATAAAATCTTTGCACAATTGAGATTGCACACAGACAGACACACACATACATACATACACTCACACACACACATACACACACTCACACACACACACACACACACAAACTCACATTTCTCAGATTACCTCTATAATTGTTTTTTTCCACCCTGAAATGTATACACTAGTCTCAGGCCAGAGATGATACGCAGGTACATTATACGATTGTTACTGCTCAGTTTGAACTGTGAAATGTTTCATCTATTGTTCACATCATAAACCATGTTATTTCCATTTAATTTGCTCTTCTGTTTCCATGGTAATTATGGTGCGGGATAATGGGGGGAAAGATTTACCTCGAGATAAGTAAAACCAGGATACATTTGTTTGTTTCTCTGTGCTGATCTGCAAGCACCTAGAACCCTGCTTTGTGCCCTTTGTATGCTCAGACTTGCAGAAATCTGCATAAGAAACAAGTATGCATGGACCAGATTTTGGATGAGAACAGAAAAATACAGTGTAGGGTTTTAAATGGTATCAAAACATTGCTTTGAAAATGGTTAACACCTGTGGAAAATCTGAGTCGTTAGTAAGGATAAATAGCTTTCCATTAAAGAGATTTTTATGGGTTCATAGTCTGTGGTGATTTGATTAAATTCAAGCCTACTTTCGTGAAAGGTATTTATTTAGTTAAACAGGCCAGGTGGGATGGCCTTTGGTCCAATTCTAAGGCATGTTGTTTCATTCCGGATTCACTTATCTGTTCAGTGTTTTCTTACTTACATGTTCCACTTAATATTTTAGCACAAACAAATCCCATGGTGTGCTTTCCATCCTTATTGTGGGGTTAAACCTCAGGAAAACTTGGACTTGAGTTCAAAAGTACCAGTTCCTAGCAATTCATTCTTATTTTTAAAGTAAACAACTGTTTTCAGGGTTGACCAGTGGGTACCAGACAACCAACTGGCTTCTCTCCCATCCACGTTGGCAATCATCCTCGTTAAGTTCACATTTGGGCAGTCATGATGGTGAGACTTTGTGGGTGTAATTTCTGATTGACTTACCTCACAGCAGACGTGATCCTCTGCCTCTCATAGTCTTTCTGCTCCGGTTCTGCAGTGTTCTCTGAGCCTTAAGTTCTGGAACTGCATTTACTGCAGATGTAGATGCAGCCACTGGGGCTCCACAACTCGACATTTTGGCCAGTTGTGATGGCCTATAATGGCTTCTCTCTGTTACAGAGAAGTTTCCTTCCTGAGGGGTGAAGACTAGATGCTTACCTGGGGTATAAGGACAGATGTTTCAATGTAGCTGCTACTGTGCTGGTTTAATAGAATTGTGGGTTCTTCTCCAGGATCTATGACTTCTCCAACCTTGGGTAGTTGGTTAGGTTTCCAGTTCCAGGCATGATTATCCTCTTGCTGGGCATATCTTAAATCCAATTAGAGAGCTGTCAGTTATTGCCAAGGCACTACTGTACCTTTAGGGCTCTAGTGCCATTCTGCTTGTAACGTGGTTCATCGCGTTGTAGCTCTGCGGGACTGTTGATTGCTTCCCTCCTTTGCCATCATGGACTCCAACCCTTTGAAACGATAAGCCAAAGTATACACTCTCTTTCATAAGCTGCCTTGGTCATGGTGCTTAAACACAGCAATTTAAAAAAGAAAAAAGAAAGAAGAAAGAAAGACTAGGATTCTCAGGAATGACGTTAACATTGATTTCTTGTCTTTTAGAATTAGCCAAGACTGTGAACTGAACAGAAGCTCTACGCCACCTTTGCCATGTCAGACCAAAGAGATGACAAGTCCCTTGCTTAGTGACGACGAAGTTTTTCCTCTGGTGAGTTCCTGGAAGCTGACTGTTTTCCTTTAAGGGTAGATTATTCAGTGCTGAGACCAATATAAGGAAGGACAGAATAGCTTAAAATGTTGCTTCTTTTTCTTTTGTTTGTTTTATTATTGTTGTTTTGAGACAGGGTTTCTCTGTATATCCCTGGCTGGCCAGGAACTCGCTATGTAAACCAGGCTGGTCTCGAACTCACAGAGATCCACCTGCCTCTGCCTCTGGAGTGCTGGGATTAAAGGTGTGTGCTACCATCTCTGAAAATTGAGACTGCAGGCCATTTGACCACATCTGTCTCTAGAAGAAAAAGAAAAACTAATACCCCACCAAGAATCCTGGTGATGCCTTTTAGGTTTTTGTTTGTTTTCATTTTTTAGAGTCAGGGTCTCACTCAGACTCAGGCTGACATGGAATTCACCATGCAGCCCAGGTTGGCTTTGAACTTACAACAGTTCTGCCTCAGGTTCTCAGGTGCTGGGATTACAGGCCCAGATAGGTGTTAACATATAGTACCATGTATGAACTGTGCGTGGGCATGTGCTGAGTCATCCTAGAGAGCATGGGGTAAGGGCTAATGTCCTGAGGCAGGAGGGGTCAGCCCAACAAGGCAGAGCACTTCCAGGGAGGAGAGAACTCTGCCCCTCCAAAGTGAGCGGGACCCGGGGAGGGTTAGCTAGAACCAAGAGGCTGCTTGGTGTCTGTGAGGGGCGGCATGTCTCCTGGGCTCGGCTGGCCCAAGGGTCAACAGAAGCAAGCTAAGTAGTTCTCAGTGAGAAGGCCATCAGCTATCGGGTCCATACTTCTCTCCTGGGGTTGCCAGGAAGGGCAGGAAATGGGACAGTAACACCGTCCATCTGCCAGATGCTGTGTCATCCTGGGCTCACCTCAGGGAGTAGTCCACAGGCTACTCAGGCTTGTGCTGCAGGAGACACAGTCCCACTCTGATCTTAAACATCTGCTACATGACTTTCCCCCTGAGGCATTCTCTCTGCTGCAGAATCTTCTAGAACAAGATTTACCGCTCACCTAACCCCAGTGGCAGGATTTGTGACCTATCCTGAACCCACGATGGAATTCTCCTTTGTTCTAGGCCCCGCCCAGTTTCTGTGCTGCCCAGTATGGCAGCGAGGTCGTTCTACCCAAGAGCACAGAATGTCAGGACACGTGGGCCTGTGCTCTGTACGGACGTCCTTGCCTGCCCCACACAACCTAAAAGCATGCCAAGCCCCCGAGTCTTGTGTGGGGCTTTGGTTCACCCTCTGGGGTGTGTGCATCTTCTCAAACCTTGGGGTCCCCAGCTTCACTGACTTGATGCTCGTGTTAGTACACAGGCACAGTCTTTTGAGTGTGCACATTGGAATTCACGGCAACACAGCGTTAGCGCAGGCTGGGGGAACCCAGTGTCAACAGTGTCCATCTCGTCTAGCAGACAACTGCTTCCGGCCCTTTTTCCCAGGACATTTAGAAAGAGTGTGTTTGACCCATCAACAGCAGACACTGCCTGTCCAAGGCTGTTTCTTTACAATGGAGAGGCGGTACCCAACACGGAAGGTACAGTTGGGATTTAACACCGGGATACCCGCCCGCAGTCACTTACTATGATCTTAGGTTTTTAGAGATTGAGGAACTAAACGTATAACCAGGTTCATGGCCATAAAGCTTCATAAAAAGTAAAGTAGAATAAAGGCAGCCAGGTGCATCGGCGCACACCAGGATCCCTAGCACTGTGGAGGTCGAGATCCAAGTCATCCTCAACTTACACAGTGACTACCAGCAAGCCTGGGCTACCTGAAACACTGCCTCAAAGCTCAGTGAAGAGGAAGGGTAGATCAAAGAACCCGAAGAGCAGTGTCATTTTTAAATAATTGTATGATGTTTAAATGTAACTAAGGTCCTTTATTCCATAATGTTTTCTTGTGTAAATACACACTGAACACATCACAAGCTATGAAGTACCCCACACCCCCCAGCCGTGTACACTGGATTATCACTCACATTTCTTCTCTTACTAAGCCCGCCTAGTAAGGTAGGGCTGCAGGACCAGTCCCAACACACACACACACTCAGACACACACACACACTCAGACACACACACTAACACACTCACATACACACACATACACACATTCAGACACACACTCGCACACACACAGACACACTCAATCACACTCATACATAACACTCACATTCAGACACACTCAGTCACACTCACACACACTCATACATACACACACACTCAGACACATGTACTCCCTCACTCAGACACACTCAATCACACTCACACACTCATACGTACACACACACTCAGACAGTCATACATACACACACACTCACACATACTCAATCACACTCTTACACACACACTCAAACACACACTCACTCAGACACACACACACACACACACACACACACACACCCCTCCAGCAGGAAGGATGTCCATCTTTACCCATTCTGCTACATCTTCACTCCAGATGTGGGACTTGCCTATGTTTTGGATTGCTTGCCTTACCAAGTCAGTAAAATGTGTCCTGCTTGGGTTCCTGGTACTTAACGTCCATCCTGGATTTGCATCTGGTCACTGAGTTTTCATTTCTAGAGCTCTTTAATGGCGTGGTGCTGAGATGTCTTAAATTCTTGAGGGTTTCTGTCAAAGTCGCAGGGTTGGCTGGCAGGGAGGTGCATGCCTGTGACCAAAGGCTCTGAACTGATGACGCCCACTCCTCTCCCCCTTCAGTCTCCCCCAGATATGTCCTTCCCTGCTTCCCTGGCTGCACAGCACTTCCTGCTGGAAGAAGAGAGGCGGGCCAAGGAGCTGGAGAAGCTGCTCAACACACACATCGACGAGCTGCAGAGGCACACCGAGTTTACACTCAACAAATACACCAAGTTCAAGCAGAGCAGACACATATGAGCTCTGCACCTTTTCTGTTTGCTTCCTCTCCAAAAGAAGGAAAGGGGGGAGCTCCGCTTGCAAAGCAGACTCATGAAACTGAGAACTCGCGTTCAGTCTCCACTAGTAAACCACTTGCTAAGACGGCTAGAAGGCAGCCTTTGTCCACAAAGCTGTTTGTTTCTGCATTTCACTTTCTAATTGTTCTGTTAGGATAGAATAAGCATGACTAGCCCCAAAGGCTTTCTTTCCTGCCCAAGGAATCGTTTGGGATTAAAATGAATTAGTTCTGATTTTAATCATGTATGCTAAAGTCCCATTTCCTGTGTAACAGGCAGCGAGAAAGGGAAGCACTCGACTCCAAACATAAGGAGACTGAGTGCAGCCCTCTGAGCTGGGCACAAAAACTCAAGGACTCCTAAAAGTAAAAGATGTTTAGGTAGGTACACTGGACTGCGCAAACACCCTAAGATTTGTTTAGAAGCAAAAGGATGTGCCTTTGCTGTTTTACATCCCCTAAGTAGCGTCTCTGCCTGAGCATCAGGAAGGATTTTTCTGAATGTGCACTGTGCACAGTAAAAGCTGCTGTGCCAGACAGCCGTGCTACCACCGAGACACGGCACACAGAGCACGAAGCTGCCTCCGTCCCCCGTGTAACCACTCGTTTGTAATAAAATAAAGGATCCCAAAATTCAGTCGCTTGACAAGTGTCCACTTTCTACAGAATTAACAGCAAGAAAATGAGCGATGAAATTCACATGACAAATACAACACACAACAATCTGTTATCTTGTTCTTTAAAAATGGAAGACACACACACACACACACACACACACACACACATACACATACTGTATCAGAGTACATAGATATTATGAAGAACTCAAGGTAGGACCACAGCTCTTGTAGTTTTCTTTCTTTTTAAAGAAATTGTGTCAACATACTGAAAAGTAACCCTATGTCCTTGGATAACAAGAACCATTTGGACTACACGAAGCGGTGTCTGCTTTGGGTGGCATCACTGTGCTTCTGTAGCTCCCGATATTTCAAAAGCTTTCCATGAAAGTCCCACAGGCTGTGGTGGCTTCAACAGGCGCCGGCTGATTAGGGTCTGGTGACAGCCAGGTTCCCGGCTGGGAGACAGCCACTTCATTGCTGTATTCTCACGTGAGGTGACAATGACATCTCTCAGGTCTCACAAGGACAATAATCCATTACCTTCCTGAGGCCCCATCCTCATGAGTCAATGCCTTCCTAAAGACCCGACTCCTGATGCATCTCATTGAAGGCTGGGAATTCAACAGATGAATTTACTTTATAAATATCCTCTGAGAGGCTGGGAAGCCAGATCACTAGGTATGCACACAGGATCTGAGTTTGGTCCCTAAAACCCATGTAAAGAAGCCAGGTGTGGTGGCTCTACGTGTAACCCAGGGCTGGAGAGATGGCGACCGGCAGATCCCCCAGTACACTGGTCAGCCAGCTTAGTGTAACTGGGGAGCTTCACGCCAATGAGAAACTCTATTTCAAAAAACACCAGAGGAATGACATCTGTACATGACCTCTAGCCACCACAAATGTGTGCATACACACACACACACACACACACACCACAGAACTGTTTAAGAATTTGATGTCAGCAAAATGAGTGTCCTAAGGGTTGGCAAGGTGCCTCAGTGAGAAAGAGAACTCAATTATGAGAACCTGAGTCCTCCAAATACCCTTATAAAAAGGCAGGGAACGGCCATACACACCTGTAACCCTCATGCTGTGTGGGACAGAGACAGGGGGAGCCCTGGGCTTTGCTGGCTGCTAGCCCTGCTCCTGGTTTAGTGAAAGACCTTCTCAAGGGATTAAGGAAGAGGGTGACAGAGCAGGACACCTGATATCGCCCTCTGGCGTCTGCCTATGTCCAGGTACATACACACATCCAAACATATACTTGCAAAACAAAAACCAAAAGTATCTGGTAGTAAACAGGATATACAGTGGAAAAGTCTGCATTTCCGATTCCTGGCTCTCCTCACAACATCACTTCCTGTAAGCAGGCAGACGGGGAACAAAGGGATATTCGAAACATCATGGAGGCCCTTTCTGCGCCCACGAAAGCCCCTGTGAGGAACTTGTCCTGTTAGTGACTAGTTTCTAGCCTGGGATTAATGAAAAGAGCCTCGGTCTAACATGCTTTAGCATTGAGGTTAATCCTGCACTGCATAGCAAAAATAAAATTGACCAAAACCCTAAGCAAATACAGAAAAAAAGACTTGCCAGTGTTATCCTTAGACGATGGGGAAAAGTTGCTTATGTAGAGATAGGGCCCGAGGACAAATTACCCTGAACCCATCTGATCTTGTATGCATCCCTAAAACAAACAAATGATTAGAAAGTTTAAAAATATCTTCACCGCATCCCGAGACCTGGACCATTTGAGTCTGTCTCCTCAGGGCGACCTCATAGGTGCCCTGTTCACTGAAATCAAGGTCTAAGGTACCGTGCTCAGTGTCCTTAGACCTCAGCAGTGAGTCCTAGGGACCAGCTGCCTCCAGGCATGGGTGCATCTATCAATCCACCACCTCTTCAACACTCCACTTAATGCCAGCTTGCTTTAAACCATGGTTTTCATGGCCTGTTTGTTTGCTTGCTTGTTTTCTTAACATGAGAGTAAACAGTTGAAGCGCTTGCTGCAGGAGCCTGGCAACCAGAGTCTAATTCCCAGGGAAGAAGGGGTCAGACTGCGCGGAGGGGCCCTCTGACCACCACAGGCAAGCTGTGGCAGGTGCACGCACACCACAAACTAAAGATAATTGAAAACCATGAGGCTTCTCACTTACCCATCAATTAGTGTTCCTTCAAGTGTGATGGCTGCCGTGTTAGTTTGTTTAGGCTACTGTAGCAAAGATACCTTAGACCAGAGATGACTTGTAAGCATCGGAAGTCCACTGTCCACAGCTCCAGAAGCACAGGTGCACACTGGGGACTGTTACGTGAGGAGGAAAGTAGAGAGCAAGGTCCTGCTCCTGGGAATGCCAAAGATTGGCAGCAGGCCGTGCGCACCTGGGAAGGAGCCCTGAGCCTGTATTCTGTGTCATAGCACTCTGCAGGAACCCATCCAGTCAAGACCCTGGTTTCAGGTGTTCAGCCCTCAGGCCCGGAGACAATGGATTCCAGCTGTTTGAACCAGTCTGTGGCACACTGTTGGGGCAACCTCAGCAAACCAACATCTTCTCATGTCCCTGAACTGCACAGGGCAAAGCTCACAACGTGTCAACCCAAAAAAGCCTTAGTGAAATCCCCCTCTCTGTAGGAAAAGACAAGACGAATCCAGTCAGAGACCACAGATGGCTGAGGCTCTGATAGGCTAGCTGCTGCCAACGCTGAGGCTCTGATAGGCTAGCTGCTGCAAACACTGAGGCTCTGATAGGCTGTCCACTGCAAACGCTGAGGCTCTGATAGGCTATCTGCAGCACACACTGAGGCTCTGATAGGCTAGCCACTGCAAAAGCTGAGGCTCTGATAGGCTGTCCACTAGACAGTTTAGGCTTTCATGGGCTATCTTCCTTTCCACTTTAAGAATCTCCTTCACAAGCAGGCTTAAGCAGTGCTAAGAAGGAAATTTGGTCACTAAGTGCATAGATTAGCAAACAGGATAAGACACGAATCTGCAGAATCCAGCAGCATAAAGGCCGCAAAAGGGCAGGATGCCACAGAACAAGTAGGAAACAAGCGTGGAAAGCAATGGCATGCAAAGCAGAGAAAGTAAGGAAAAATCTAAGAGCTGTCTCTGAAAAATAAACCAATAAAATTGACTGATGTATAAAAAAGGAAGATTATCAAAATGAGACCAATACAGATACAAGCAGGAATAGTTATCAGAAAACCAGCTTCAAATGTACCAAGTCCTTGAAACAAAATCATAAATCTGTATGAAAGACCTTACAGAAACTCACGCTGTATAAGCCAATTAAAAGTGTAATTTTAAGACACTCCTTCCCTGGGCTCCATATTCCAGCCCATACCTCTGGCTCCTTTACCAGAGGCCAGGGTGGTCCTAGGGACCACAGGTAAGACATCACCCACTGCCCACTAATACCCCTTAAAGCCGATCCAGCAACCCCAGCCTGTACCCTCTTCCTCTGAACTCCTTATCCCAGTGCACAACCTTGGCGATAGCTTCTGCTCTACTAGGAATCCCAAACCTCAGCGGCCACACAGGGACTTGGAGCCAAAAAGTCAACTTTGGCTCCCCACACTCCAGAGGTCTTACAGGCAACAAAAACCCCACTGAAGACACTTTACTGGACCTGAATACTCATCAGTCACCAGAACACCTGGCCTCTTAGGTTGGAAGACCAGAGAAACCAAGGAGCAAAACTCCCATCCAACAAAGACAAATACAGGAACCAGCACCTAGACCTAAATCATCCCAAACCCAGATCCCTAAATGCGGTCAACAACAGGCAGGACAAGGTGGCCCCACAGAGCCCAGCTGTGCTGTGACAGCAAGGCCTGGACAATTCAACACAGCCAAAGCACAAGGAAGTGACCCTAAAACCAACTTTATGATGATGAGAGGTGCTTTCAAAGAGGGAATGAAAAATTCCTCAAAGAAATTGAAGAAAAGACAAAAAACTGGAGGAAATCAATTAATCTTTTAAAGAAAGCCGAGACGAAACAAACGGTGAAGGAAACTGTTCAAGACCTGAAAATGGAAATAGAAGCAATAAAGAAAACACAAACTGAGAGAATCCTGGAAATGGAAAGTCTGGATAAGTGCACAGGAAATACAGATGCAAGTATCACTAACAGAATACAAGAGATGGGAGAAAAAAATCTCAGGCATTGCAGATATGATAAGAGAAACAGATTCATTGGTCAAAGAAAATGTTAAATCTTAAAAACAAAACAAAAAAAAAAAAAAAAAGCCCTTACACAAAACATCCAGGAAAAGACAGAGAGACAGAATAAAGGTCAGGAGGGCAAATCAGTCAGTACTGAAATTTAATTTTCACCACTCTTATATACCTTATCCAAAAAGGGGGACACAGTATCATGCATATGGAACAGACTTTTCTTCCTCGCTTATTCTAAGGGTTCAGTAACCACACCTTAGCTCCAACTTCTTGTTCCCTAGCCTTGAGGTCAGGAGTAGCCACACCTCAGATTCAGGTCTGTTGTTATTTAGACTAAGACAGCCAAACATTCTTCTGTAGCCACACCTTTGACCTTTAGGTCTTATAACTTGCTGAGGACAGCTTTGAACTCTCCTTGGGCCAAGATGGAGTGCAGCCACATTAACCGGCACCCACAACATCGTAAAGATTATCTACCGTGATCAAGTAGGCTTCATCCCAAAGATGCCAGGATGGTTTAACATATGAAAATCTGTCAATGTAATCCACCATATAAACAAACTGAAGGAAAAAGAAACACATGATCATCTCATTAGATACTGGAAAAGCCTTTGACAAAATTCAACATGCCTTTATAATAAAAGTCTTGGAACGATCAGGGATACAAGGAACATAATATTAAACATAATAAAGGCAACATACAACAAGCCAACAGCCAGCATCATATTACACGGTGAGCTATTCAAAGCAGTTCCACTAAAACAAGGAACAGAGGTTGGTCCACTTTCTCCATATCTATTCAATATAGTACTTAAAATTCTAGCTGGA